CATATTGCTTCATCAATTCTTCACGAAGTGGTAAAATAAAATTTTTGTATTTGCAAGACCTACTAGTAAAGACAACGATTTTAGTTTGGCAACTTTGCATCGAGCAACAACAGCGCAACGTGTAAGAAGAGAACAGCAATACGAGCACGGGAGAGCAGCAATAGTGCTTTCCCTTTCTTACACGCTGCGCTGTTGTTGCTCGATGCCAAGTTGCCAAACTAAAATCGTTGTCTTTACTAGTAGGTCTTGCAAATACAAAAATTTTATTTTACCACTTCGTGAAGAATTGATGAAGCAATATGAGGATAATTTTTTTATTCGGAAACCGCGTGTATTCCGGCGTACAGAATTTTTTAAAATTTAAATTCTCTTAAAAAATAATTAATTTTAAAATTAAAAATTTTTTTAATTATTTTTCTGAAAGACATGAACATATCTCACAAAGTTGCATACCAAATATTGAAATAACTTAAACGAGTCTCAAGTGATGCATAACTGAAAAATCGGAGCTTAATTAGAAAATTATTTTTTAAAAATAAACGGTAAGAGTTTAAAAAAAAAAAATAAAAACCGATCCTTATATTTCAATCCTCTATCGAAAAAAAAAGTTTCGATTGATTCTGAGATTTGACCCAAATTGGCCTGTCACGTTTCACGTGGAATGAGCCAGATACATTAATTTTAGGCGTTGTAAAAAAAAAAAATATCACACTTTCAAAACTTATTTTGTATTAACAGATGTATCTAACATAATTAAAAATTCCAAATTTCCATATATTCGTTTGTATATTCTTAAACATTTATAAGCAGTTCAAGTAATAAATACTCTACGCTCACTGTGGGAAAAAGACTTTTTTTTAAATACACATACAAATTCCTTTAAATAAATACACAAGAAAGTGTAAAATTATTTCTAAATCAATTTGAAAATTGTTTATTTTTATTCTCAAATTTTATTAATTGGCTACGTAGAATTGGTAAATTTTTTTCATGTCTCGCACTGTCAGCAGTTGTGCACACTTAAGCCAACATAAGTACTACTGTATTTGGGTAATATTTATGCATTTTCACATAAATGCCAGGCATGGGTGTGTGCGTAAGATGTGCATTCATAGCTTCGACTTGTTTTGCATGCTAATTGCCTTTGACGTGAATGAAAGAGATAGAATAACAAACAGGAAGATAGGAAGAGAAAGAGGGAGGGAGCACATCTGTCTACAGCAGTCGTAAATTGGTCGCCTGCACTTGATTATGTGTGAAAATGGTTCACAGTGCTGGTGCTCCTTCATAAACCTATTTAGATTTTTAATTTTTCATCGAGCTACCAAAATTGATTTCATAACGTAAATATTTCAATCTTATTTTGGTCTTTCTATTTATTTGGGAAACATTTCTATGATTTCTGTTTGCTTTGCAACTAAAACGGAAATATTTATGGCTGAAAGCCAGAGCAAACTTTGCTGTAAAATGATTTTCCAGCTGCGCACGAAAGTATGCAGCTGTGTAAAAATTCAGCTTTGATTGGGAAATTTTTCTTTCGCAATGAAATGTTTACTTCGGTATTGCAGCAAGTTGAGGGAGTCTTGTTGCATAATTTACTGCAGGCAGTATGCGTTTCGCAATCATAGGCACCCACTATTCACTATTTCCTGCCACCATTTTCCAATCCCATCCTGGGCTAATGGCACTCTGCATATTTCATCATATTAAGTGCCAAAACAACGCATAATCAAGTTCCACGATCCCCATGCCCTATTGTACATACATGGGTCCATTTGAGTGAGGGTAAGAAGCACCCTGCCTGTAACTGAATTAAGTCCCGTTCGCAATACAGTACAATCTAGCACCGCAAAATGTTGCTATCTGAAATTTCACCCCATCATCAATGCAACTGGTCTGGTTGGTTTAGGTTCCCATCGATTTTCCCGCTTTTCCTCGCCCCACTTGCCACCCATCGAGTGCACTAATTATACTGCTAAACAATTTTGTATTTCGGGGCTTTTGTTTATGCCACCAGGCGAACTTTGTATCTGCTCTGCACGGGGAGCTGAATGCCTCAAATTGGTCGGGTAAACATTTGATATACTGTTTAGCCCAAAAATCGCAGGTTTTAGCGGGGTTAATTGGGTTTCGAAAACTAACGTTAAGCTATGTTGACTTTCTACCATAGCTCGCAAATAACTGTTGACCGATTCGTGCGGTCCCCAAATAACTGTTTTTGTTTGAGACTTTGAGCAAACAATTAGAGAGCAACCGATTGAATTGTTCGTACAGAAATTTTGCTCGCACTCAGCCGACGAGCAGTTTTTTCGGCTTTCTTTTGCTCGGCTCGCTTACAGACCGATTGCTCCTGAACGACGTTTCAAAAAGTCTTTTGCGCATGTGTTAACGTTAACGTGCTTGGGCGATATTGCTCTCCCTTTCACTCGCACTTACTTTCAAAGGGAATACATTGTATAGTTGTATTAGTGAAAAGACTTTTTGCGATGACTTTTTCAGTCAATCGGTCTTTTAATAAGTCTCCCTGTGCGAGCGACATTCGTATCTCTCATTGAACGAGGTTCGTAACAGAGCGTCTCACGAACAGCTCAACGTAAAAGGCTCAACCGAAAACCAAATCGAAAGGAAACGAAGTGTGCTGCGCAGAGAGAGAACGAGGGGCATGCTATTTTTCGGTTGTTCTCGGGAGTAGAGCGTAAGGAAAAAAACGGTTAACAGTTATTTGCATGCTTTGCTTTCTACTTATTTTTAAGTTCGTTATGGTGTTTAATATTCGCCCTATTCCGATCAGATATTAACATAATACAAAGACAATAACAAGAAAGGAAACTAAATTTTTTTTAGGCATCCGTAGTAAATAAATTTCAACATATGTAGATATTTAATAATTTTTATTTTCCAAGCCATTTATGAATTTTGAATTAAAATTGAATTATAGCTCGGATGCTGAGTGTTTTGTTGTTTATGTTAATATAAACTGTTTTACCTAGAACACATTAAACTTGTTTCCGCTTTTCGGAAAATAAATCTGCATGCAGTTATCATCGAGTACAAAAAAATAAAAAGTGAAAAAACAATGCTTAACAACCATGTATGTTTATAGAATCGCAGCCAAATTACGTTTTTTATGAATGCTTTAATGATTGCAGTTCTCATTTCGCAATCACTGTATCAGATCGATGACTTCATAGACCTTTTTAATAAAATAATAAAAATATTATTAATGAAATGGAACAGAAAGCAATATTAATCAGAATTATTAAAAAAACTTGCTGATTGAAGTGCAGTCAGCTATAGTTAAATACTTTTGTTAGATTTTAAAATTTGACAAGAAAAATAATATGTCATTAGTCATAAAGGGCAGGCAATGACTGTAAACCTACTATAGAGACAACGGCGGTGGTTGGTAAGCCCTTGAGATTACCACATGCCATAAATTCATTTAAGTCCGTATAATCCATGCCTCGCAAACACACCCAGTCATAACCATAAAGGCATTCATACATTAGCTCAGACAGTGCCTACGATCTGAATCAGCTTTCCTCGGAAATACTGGCTTGAAGCAGTTGCTCTGTGAAATTTGCATGGGATGCAGTTATGAATTTATTTATGACTCTCATTCTCCGGATGCTTGTGCCTGTGTATACCCCACCTTTGTCTTTCTTAGTATTGTAATCCTTTTGGAATTTTATTTGCTTTTCATATACATATTAAAACATTTGCACATCCATGACCAAAAATAGCAAAGCCAAAAATATATCTTCCAACGGCTTGGCAATGTGCAACACATTCAAGGTGAGACCATTAATTTGAAAACAAAGCAAATCACAGAAATTTTATTATAAACAAAATAATGGGCTGCATTGTAATTTGAAGGGATTTATGAATGCAGGGTGTTTGCAAAAATCTTAGAACAAAAACAGAATTTCTATAATTTAGGTAGGTACGCAATTCTTCTACACGAGTACCATTAAACATTAAACAATCCTCGTCTTTGGGAGCTACTTATTTTTAATAATACCTAATTTTTCATATTTTATTTTGTAGACTTATAGACGATATACGAATTATTTCTCCCGTTTTTCGGAATTTCGCCAATTAATTCGTATACTTTTCTTTGACAAAACATCGCTAAAATTTTATTTTCGCAATTTACGTGTGCAAATTTGTGTACTTCCCCAAAAGCTATAGCTTTTTGTGGATATTGGCCGCATTTTGGGTGGTCCAAACTTTTCATTCATTCTTCGGCCATTTCTCAATCGAATGCGTATTGTTTATAAAACAAAAATAAGTTGCTTATATAAGTACATTACCATTTGCGAAAATTGTCTGATTGAATAATTGATATTTTTGGATGGAATTGTTGCAAAAACAGAACGTTAAAAATCCGGTGGGAAATTTCTTTAAAATATTTCAAGAGTAATTGCAAGGCGTAGCTATCTCAGGAATGCAAGGCATACTTATGTTATTATCCCTTAAAATTAATAATCGAGGTTCTTCGTAATTAAATCTGCTAATCGACTTTATTTTACCGTTTTACCGACACTAAAGATTAATAAAGCCCTATTATTTTAATTTCACTTCAACAGATGTTATTATTTCGAGCTCCATACTTAAAAAAAAGTTGTTCAAAAATATTTGTTTTGCATTTTAAATTATTTTTGGTAAAATTTATGAACTCGGAAAAGTTAAAAAATAAAGGATATTCTATAACATTAACAGCGACTCTCGCTTATGAATTATCAGGCCGGTCTCTTGATTTGTAAAAGAGAACCGGAGAGTCAAGTGACCGTTTAGGAAACATTATCTAGAGTTTGAGGCTTTTGCTTTGGCTGCCTTTTTATTTCTTTTTTCTTTTTCACACTGATAAAATGTGAAGAAAGAAAACACAGGGCTGTTTGCGCAGCGTGCGATTGATTGAAGTCCGGCGTCGACGTCGGCGTTGCCGTCGCTATATAATGATCATCGGAGGGAGGTTCTCCGGTTCGAGTTCGGGATCGCTGGGATCAGTCTTTGGGACGCGCGTTTGCCGTAAAGATCGCGGCGAAGAACTACTGAAAATCCGTTTTTGTTCAACTATTTTGTGTGCCTCTGTCTGTGGTAAAGTTTCCTTCTATTTTGTTTAATGACAGTGTTGTTTAAACCGTTTAATTTCTGAACTAAAAGAGTGCTATGAACCTGAAAATTGAATTAAAACAATTAAATAATGCTAATTAAGTACAGCTTAAAACAAATTGATTAAGCGCATTAAATGATATTCAATACAAGCAGAAAGCAAGAAAAGGGTGAAAAAACATGAGAGTAAAAGTCGCATAATTGATTCATTTGTGCAAGCTCAGCGAAATTAATCTATGAATATTCACCATGTTAAGCCACTACGAACAGTTCCAAACGAGCTGGCCATTTAATATGTAGTTTATTATATTTAAATCTCTTTGTTGTGTTTGCTTATTTGGCGTATAAATCAGCCTGCTGAATGAAAATCAGAGAGATATAGAAAAGAGTGAAGGAAGTCTTTGTGTGGTTGTGACCCAACAGCTGATTTCTTATTTTAAACTTATTTTTGCTTTATTTTCCAACTCTGGCTCTCTTAAAGGCGTTTTATTGGGTCTCTTAAAAACATTTTATGTGCAGGAGAGTGGCATGGCACACATATTTTACAAAATCAGAATATTATGCTCTGAGTACCCGCAGACTTCGCTCATTTACTTTTCTTGTTGTCCCATTTGTTGGTTTTTTGTTTACGTTTTTGTCTTATTTACAGAAAGATTATACTTTTTATAACCGAAACCATTTATTTGTATAATATAATTTACTATAATTTTACCATAATTATTATTACCATAAATATTATTATAATTTTATAAGGCTTATCGCAGAAATACTTATTTTAAAATTTATTTTGTTTTTGCAATAGTTTCCGTTCTTTCTTTAAAAAATATATATGAACAGTTATCCCCAAGTTGAAAATATTTGTTTATTGATTTCCGGCTGATTTCTTTTCTTAGTCATACCACCCGTTGATGTTTAGCAAAATATTTACTGGTTATAGGAATAATTTATTATTGTTTAAGATCTTCTTCAGTGCAATGCAAAACAAAATTGCCCACAAATATTCTATGGAAATTACGTAATTTACAACTTTGCATTTGATCCATTTATAGAAGTAATTAAATTATTTAAGTAGGGTCTGACGAAAGCCTCAAGAGGTCGGACAAAAGCAATAAAGATTATACGTATATAGATTGCACATTTCCAAGTCATTCATAAGTCTGATTAACTGCCTAAAAATGTGTACTTATCGGTCAGAAATATTAATCCCACCTGAAGTAGTTTGAACTAACGGGAAGTACCTTGTTCTATAATATTTGCTTCCTTGCCTGACCGATAAATTTTTTGATTACTTAGAAAACTTTTATGATTTTAATTAAAGTGACTAATGACTTTAGTGATTTTGCAAGGGGAACAGAACGTATTGAATAATGCAAAGCCTTTCGTAGTAATGGAATTCAAGGCATTAACTTTTTAACACTACATTTATTTATTATGTTAGCTCTATAAATTTGTTAAATTGAAAATCCATATGAAATTACCGATAAACTGGCGTTGTAGAAGCCGTGTAGGAATTGATTTTGATTTTTTCATCAAACAGATTACTCTCAATGCTATTGATATGAGCATGAAAGGCTGAATCCTGTAACAAAACCATCAATAAATATAAATTTATCGTTTTATTCTTATAGACTAGATTCAATTTTTTGATGACTGTTTAAAAGTACTATTACTTATACTTACTGTATCCATATTGGTATTTCGATACTCGGTCTCGGCCTTCAGAAAGGCGGCCACGCCCTCGTTGACTTCCGACTTATTCATTCCCTCAAAATGATTGTCAATGTCCTCATTTATTATTGGTCGGTTACGCCTTGACTTTCCATCTTTCGACTGATTTTTCGATTCCCTATCTCGGTCCGCTGTTTTATCTGTTTCTTTTCGAATCTCTTTACGTTCGTAGTCGATGCGCAACTTAATGGCTTCTACCATGGTGATGGGATCCACAGGAAACGGTTTTTCCGGAACAGGTCCTGCAAAAGCGATCTCTCGGGCGTACTCGTTGAAATTCTCACGTCCGTCGAGACTTGCTTGTATGATGCCAGGACAAAAGCGATCCTTTACCAGGGTCTCGTGAAACTCATTTTGAATGCGTTCAGACAAGCGGTCCTCAGCTTTTTTTCAGTTTTTTGCAGGTTACTATATATAAAAATAAAGATGAATAACTTACGTGTTTGAATGGGCACTCGCTTAGATCGTCCCCCCAAAGATGAGTTTTGGTGGGTTTTATCCAACGAAGTTTTCTGCCAAATGATGGGCATTATTTTAAATGGAAAATATAAATGTTATAAACCTACATTCAAGCACGACCTTCCTATCATCGCTTGGGACATGTCAAAATAGTTTTCATTTCTTGACGCAGACTTATTTCCGCAACAGGAAAAGCTTTGCTCATCTTCCATACTTTTTTCACAGGCGTTAGATCCTTGATCACAACAGCCAGGCAGATTTTTAGAGGGGACGGATCGAGAGGTTTGATTGTGATCCATGGTTTCCTGGCAAAAGGGCATCCGATTCATAGAGACATCCTGATAATTATAAATTAATATTATTCAAACATATATGATATAATTTAATGACTAACGTTTTGACACTGATTTTGATTAAGACTCCGGTTCGTTTGCCGTCTACATCTCGCATTTCTAAGAGTTTCTGGTGGCTGAAGGTAGCTCGTGTTGTTAATTTCCGTCTCGTACTGGTTTTATAGAGAAATGTGTGCCTTAAAATAGGTAAATCGATATTTGGACAGCACAACTAACCTGCGTTTGGCGTCCTTGCAATTGTGGTGACTGACACTATTTTGAACTATAGATTATGATTTGTTCAGTTAACGTAAATCACAACTTACCTGTGTTTGTCTGCGCGGCATTTCAGGGGTTTGGCATTCGTACATTGATGGTGCCGTCTATTTTAAAATTTAAAAAAATTCAAATAAAAAACGTATATATTTAATATTACTTACGCTTTGTAGTTGGCAGCTTGTGTTGCACATCTGACAAGCAGGCTTCGCTTGATGACGAGGTCCTTGTTGTGGGCCATTTTTAACCGATTGCCGATGAGAATTGTCGTGGTTTATTCTCGTGCTATTAAGATCTGGTTCCTGTTATATAATTTTATAAATGTCATAGCTACTTTAGACGTTTCGTAGCACTCACAAATACAATGGGTTCGTCATTTTCCAACCATGATATATTGGACTGATTTTGCTTTCGCGATTGTTGCTGCTGATATTGCTGCCGCTGAATTTGTTCCAAAAGCAGTTGGCGTCTTTGAAACTCGCCGTAGTTCATGCCAACTTGGGATGAATCATTCCAATCGTAAGAGGTGGTATTTCTTGAACTGCGATTGCTGTCATATTTGTCGCTTTGGTTGATGGGGTAGGAACCTCCACCCGGAGCATACAGCTCGCACTTTTTGGTATTAAATTGTTATTTTAAATTATTATTTTTATAACCTAAATACTCACAGGTGTATGAACGTTATGTGGTTTGACTGGTGTAGTTTTTGCTGAAACCTGTTATCGATTTGTTTACAATGATGTTAGTCCTTAACTTTTCATACTTACGTTGTGTTTGTGAGATGCATCGTGTCTGGGGAGGCTGTGGGATCTTTGGGCATTATGTCGGGAGTGCTGTGATTGGTTGACTATGGATTGAAAGTGAAATAAGGAGTCCAGTGGGATTATATGCTGTGGCAAAGTCTGATCGATGGAACGCTGAAGTGGTGGACTATTATTGGGACATTCCGGCAAGTTGCAACATTGCTAAATTTTACTCTTCTTAATTTAAGGTGATTAATCATTAGAAAATCATACTCACATATTCGTCGTCTTTGTTACAACAGGCTGAGAGCTATTAATTAAAATTAGAGTTTCTAATTTGTTAGAAATATTGTCTAATTTATTTTTACCACTTTCTGAGACATCAAGTCATTCTGTCTGCTGCCATTGAAGGTGGATCGATAGAGGGGATCTTGCGACGGTTCAAACGGATGACGTCTCATCGGAAACCGACTGACTGTGGGGCAGGGATCGTAGCTATCGTCGTCGCTAATGGGAAAGCTTCTGCGGAAGTTGTTTTGGCAGGGATTTCGATTTGTGGCCGCTGCATTCAGATCCTTTTGGTATCCCAAACACCGACTGAAGGCCAAAAACAGCTCATCGGGCAGCAGAACAGAGTTTCTAACAATGTCCATTCATAAGACGAAAAGAGACACAAACAACTTACTTGCTTTGCAGATTGTCAGAAAAAGACGATGGTGATTCTACTTACATACAATCTAACCAATCAGAATACAGCTTTAATGATATTTGGCTATGTGGCTTCCAAAAATATTTCGTTGTGTGCAACTTAGTTGGGATCTAGGCAGTTCTAATGCAAAATATAATTTGCATTTGCCCTTCCCAAACAGGAATTTACATGGTATTGCTATTAAAATTGACTAGTGTTTAGTTGAAACTTGTAAATTTTCGCTAAATAAGTATGACAATTAAATCAATGCTGGTCTAAAGTATGTAAAGTCTAAAAATTATTGATTTTAAAATACTATTAAAATAAATCACATAAATTCTTTGTTTATTCTGGACTTTAATCCACATCTTTATTATAACTTAATGATTTCTCGACCTAAATTAACCAATTTTCTTGCGCTGAGTGCAAATTCCCATTTGCCTCTGGCTTAATTTGCTATTATGCGCCCACCATCGTCAGCAATCAGATGAGTTGCCCCATCCATTATCCTTTTGGCCTAATCCCTCATCGCTGTCATCTCTCCGGTGCTCGCTTCCGTTTGTTCATTAGGCAAATGCAGCAATTCCAGCTCGACAAACGCCAAATCGTTTGTCTCAGCCGTATCCGCATCCGCATTCGCATTCGTATCCGTATTTGTCAGTTGGGTGGTAGGACATCCGCCGGCCCGCTTCAAGTGGGCGTCCAGCTGGGCCAGGAATGTGGGCGTGGCATGTGCGTTACGCGTGAAATCCAATTCCCGCAAACTGGCCGCCTGGGTGGCAAGGAATCGGAGGAGGGAGCGCACCGCCTGCGGTCGCTGTGGCATCCACTTGACGCTCCCATCCGCCACATCATAGTGCACCGTCAGCTGCGAGTGCCAGGCGAAGCAGTGCAACCGGAATGCCTCCTCCACGGCGCCGACTGGCAGCAGCCAGTCATCCAGTCGACACTGCAAACGGAGTCCCACAATCCGACAGCTGCGACCCCGAATTTGCTGCAGGCACGCGGACAAAGTTCCTGTGGCACTGCCACTTGCCTTGCCATCGTCATCGGCATCCGCAGCCAGGTGACCGTGCCCCGAGTTTTGACACAGAAAAGCTGTCAGCTCACGTAACTCGGGCAATTGAAAGATCTCAGTAGCGCTGGCAGTTACCATGCAGGCGGGCAGTCTCAGGGTTTCCAGATTTCTGGGATACTGGTACTTAAATCTGCTGCACTGCGAGTGAGAACGCAGCTCAAATCCTCTGAGTTGTTTAAGGGATTTAAGCAGAAGGTCCAAATCTAGGGGTGTTAAGTCCTCGCCTTCTCCCAGTTTGAGGTCCACCAAATTCGGGCACAAATCGGGTAGTTTCTGTATCACAAGGGTATTGCTTTTCGTGAAACTGAGCCTCTCCAAATGGATGAGGCCTTTATGCTTCCGTTCGAGCCACTTCCGGCAACCTTCGCCGGTTCCGGGCAGGTTAATTAGGCCTCTGGTTCGCTGGCCTAAGTGATCCAATAATTCGGCCAGCTCAACGGGCTTAAGCAGCTTTAATCGCAGCTCCCGGCGAAAATCGAACCATTTGGCATATCTGATGGTCCACAAGCGGAGCAGCAAAGCGGACAGCCGCTCCTCCTGCAGCTCCATCAATCTCAGTTGGTCCCCCAGCGAAAGGTGTTCGCATATCATCAGCAGACAGTCATTGTTCAGTTCCATCAGCCTGCGATTCCGGGACGGCTCTATATGGCCCATGGTTACGCTCGTCCTGAACCGCATCCCACTCGATCTGCTGTCGCTGAGCAGGCTCGCTCGACTGAACAGGAAGCGCTTGGCATGTGTCTGCCGATTTCCCGATTTCTGAGCTATATGTGTCCATCGTCTGAACCCCCGTTGCGGCTGAATCAGTGTCGCCTTCGGCGGTTGCACTGCAATCGCAGCTGGCAGTGCGTGCAACCAGCGCATGTGTCCCCGATTATCCAGATCTCATTGCACAGTGGGACAAGGGGTGACCAAAAGTGTACAGAAATATTTTTATTTATTATACCCTTGCAGAGGGTATTATGATTTCAGTCAGAAGTTTGCAACGCAGTGAAGGAGACGTTTCCGACCCCATAAAGTATATATATTCTTGATCAGCATCACAAGACGAGTCGATCTAGCCATGTCCGTCTGTCCGTCCGTCTGTCCGTCTGTCCGTCTGTCCGTCTGTCCGTCTGTCCGTCTGTCTGTTTCTACGCAAACTAGTCTCTCAGTTTTTGAGCTATCGGGACAAAACTTTCGCAAAAGTCTTCTTTCTATTGCAGGTAGTATATATGTCGGAGCCGACCGGATCGGACAACTATATCTTATAGCTCCCATAGGAACAATCGGAAAAAAAAAACTTTAAAAAATTCTAGCTTCGGTGTTTTTTGAAATATTACCTTCTACTTTTGGGAATGTTATTTTTTAAATATATCTGAATTTCGAATTAATTATTTAAAAAATCGGACTACTATATCATATAGCTGCCATAGGAACGATCGGAAAATTAATGGAAAAGTAATAGGAAATAAATTCTAGCTTCTTTGGTTTTTATTGTATTACCTTCTACTCTAGGATATGACTCTTTTTAAATATTTCCGAATTTCAATTTTAATTTAATCAAAATCGGACGACTATATCATATAGCTGCCATAGGAACGATCGGAAAATTAATGGAAAAGTAATAGGAAATAAATTCTAGCTTCTTTGGTTTTTATTGTATTATCTTCTACTCTAGGATATGACTCTTTTTAAATATTTTCGAATTTCAATTTTAATGTGATCAAAATCGGACGACTATATCATATAGCTGCCATAGGAACGATCGGAAAATTAATGAGAAATATTAGAAAATTGAACATTTTTGCGATTTGTTTATTAATAGGAATGATCCGCAAGGGTATATAAGCTTCGGCTGGCCGAAGCTAGCTTCCTTTCTTGTTTTTTTTTTAAATTCTATTTTATTTAACACTAGAAATACAAATGCTTACTTAAAAAGTAATTTTAATCAATTTGGTAATATTGAAATTGATTAATTATAATTATAATACATAGTTTCAGCTCCAACTTAAATTCATAGTTGCAGGTACAAGTTCTAATTTATTTGTACTATTTTTAAAATTTGTGTATAGTAAAAATACAAAGAAGTTTTTACCACTGTGATCTAAAATTTCTTAACCTGAAAAACTATTTATTGTAATTATTTGGCTTACACAACTGTTTGAAAAATATAAACTCAATAGTACCATGTCCACTACCCAACTGTAAACACCACCCCCTTTTTCACTACGGTCCTGGTGTGGTGGTGGTCGATAAGTGCAACCCCTGACAAACTGTCCGCTGGTAAAGAGAGTTCTCAAAGCGGCACGGGGTGCGGGCATTCCACTTTTCCACACTCTCTCCGAGATTGTGTATTATCGCTGAATGAGTAGAAGGCAGGGAACATAAGATACATGTGTATGGAAAGACCTCGGCTGAGAGTTGGGCTATTTTGGTAAATCCCCCCTCATAACTCGAGCTACACATGTGGCCAAGGCCAAGGAGATATGGTATACAAATTGTGGAAGGTGGGGAGGCCAAGTTTCAAGAGCCAAACCAAAAAACCAGAAACCTGGATGGAAACAAATCACGATTCTTATTTAATTCGATAATGCGACAGTCGTAAACAAAGAGCTGTCGCTACTGACCACTGATATGGCGATCTTTGTACCCTTTATAAGTAGTTTTCGTTGCCTACTGATTCGTTGTATTCCATAATATGAGTCATAGGTACACAAAGCATGATAATATTTACATGAAATAATTATTTCGACCAGGTCAAAATTACCTGGCCGCATATCAAATTAAAATTGATTTTAAATAATGTAAAATCGATCTACGTTTCATATCGATTTTGTTTGGGTGTGGTTATAAAAGTTATAAGGCAATCAAAATTTATTTTAAATTTTTGTAAATTATAATGTTATTGGAGGTTGAAGAAGTGAGAGTCTTAAAGGCTTCTTTTCTATGGGGATACTAAAAACCTCTTAGTCACGTTAAAATTATCCAAGTTGGCCATTGGTTTTGGTATTCGAAAAGCATGCTAGGCAGTTTGGGTGATTAAAATTAAACAAAAAATCGGTTTGGATTACAAAATTGTTGGGTTGCGGTGAACGGGATCATGGAGAGCGTGCGGTTTCAGGATGTCCAAACGATAAGGATCGCTCCGCCGCCAGCGATGAGGGTGATCCACCTGGACCTCAACGAGGAGGAGAGTCGTCGGCAAATGGCGGCCAACAAGTATGGAGGCATCTGCTTGCACACGGCCATAGCGGCCATGCTCTGCTTAATGCTGGTGGTGGTGTTCTGCTCGGCGCCCCTTGGTGACAGCCTGACCAATCGGACCTCCTCCGAGGAGCGGTTTGCCCGCCGAAGGCAGATTTATGTGGAGCGGGAGCGACGACAGAGACTGGGCAGCGGAATGGCCTTGAGTCCGCTGGAGGAGGAGGCCGATGGGCGACTGCTGGCCATCAAGCAGGTGGACGAGGAGGTTCACGATCTGTGGCAGAACTACCACTCCCAGCCGCCGCCGTTCCTCAGCCATTTCAACATCAGCGACACCAGTCTCTATGCTGCTTTAAAGAGCATGCCCAAGGGCGGACTGCTCCACGTCCACGATTCGGGAATGCTGCGGACGGAGATCCTCATCGATCTGACCTACCGCGACAACCTGTGGGTCTGCGTGAACCTGGATCAGGGCTTCGAGGATTTCCGCTTCTCCCGGCACTTTCCGCACATCCCGCCGGCGGACGACTACCAGTGTAACTGGATGCTGATGCGAAACTTCTTCGAGTTTGAGCCGAGAACTGGGTTCGTGGACAGGCTGCGGGAGAGTCTCACTGTCCGCCCGGAGGGTTATGGAAGCTCCTCGGAGCTGGCTAGGCACCTGAGACGCCACCAGCGGTTGATCCACGGCCTGATCACCTTCCGTCCGAACTGGAGCGAATTTATATTCAGCATGCTGAGCGATTTCTACGCCGACGGGGTGCAATATGTGGAGCTGCGGTCTTCGCTGCCAATCGTGAGTGGGGAAATCAGAGTTTTAACTAGGGGGTTTAAGCCAATAACTACACAGAGAAAAAAAGGTTTTTTTTTCATATCAATCTTGGTCCGTTCTGTGTTCATATCAAAATGATATTTCCAAACATATGACCATATTGATGTGAAATCATACCATTTTGTAATGGAAAAATTTTGTTCCGTTTTTTTCTCTGTGTATTGGTTGTTTTGTAGTTAGTTTTTCGTTATAAAACATTCCGATGTATTATATACCCAAGGTAAATTTAAAGTATATACACAGGAAATATATTTCTTGCAATTGCTTAATTTCCTCTATGAATTCCCCTTTTAATCCTGCCCTTACTTAGATGTACGATCTGGATGGCAATAACTCCACCATTTTAGAAACAGCCGAGTCCATAGTTTCGGTGTCGAATATTTTCAAGAACACTTACAAAGATTTCATCGGAATCAAGCTGATCTATTCCCCTTCTAGGGACTTTAATGACATGGAAGATTATTTAGCCAATGCCCGTCTACTAAAGGTAGTCAGGTATTAAGATAAATCCAAGTGAAATCTAACTTAACCTTATATCCGCTAGTTGCATCATCCCAATTTCTTTGCTGGTTTCGATCTGAACACCTTTGGTGATGAGTGCAATTTACCGGTCTTGGGGAAGTCAACTGAGCTTTTGAAGATCGGCAAGGATATTGACTTTTATTTCCATGCTGGTGAGTCGCGATGTCCGGATAGCTTAAGGCCGGATGCGAATCTTATAGATGCCCTTTTGCTGGGAAGCAAACGGATCGGGAACTCTGTGAATCTGCCTTTTCACCCTGAGATTATGAGGGCAATGAAAAACCTTAAGATGGCCGTGGAGATCTGTCCGTTGTCTAATCACTATCTTCAGTTCTTTAACGATTTTCGGCAACATCCGGCGGCGTATTTGATTGCCGCCGGCTTTCCCATTGTAATTGGCTCGGATTATCCGTGTTTCTGGAACGCCGCCCCCCTGACCGACGACTTCTATGTGGCCTTCGTGGGTGTGGTCAGTGGGTGGGGCAATCTGCGCCTGCTCAAGCAGTTCGCCATGAACTCGTTTCTGTACAGTTCCCTTAGCGAAACGGAGCGGAATGTGGCCGTAACCAAGTGGCAATGCAGCTGGAACCGGTGGGTCAGGAACTTTGTTAACGGTAGTGGACACGAATAAGAGGTGGTTGTCGAGATGAGGAATATATTTTGTTTAGGGTATCAAAATTTAATAAAAATCTCAAAAAAGTAAGTTTCACATAAACTTTCCTAAAAAAAACCCATTCGCTTTTATTAAGGCTGTCCAAAATTTTCAGTACATCCAAAAGGTCGGAAAAATGCAGTATATTTTCATCGAATAAAATCCCCACTGAAAAGTTCACTGCACACAAAAAAATTTGCTTGGTAAAATTGACCAACAAAGATAGTTACGTAACTATTAAAATAGTTACGTGTATTTTGTTTTTGCTTTGGGTTTGTGTCTTTGCTATTTGTGTGTATTTTGTTGTTGTGAAATGACTATTTACTAGTAGAATTGACAATTTTGCTCGTTGGGGCCTGATTGACAATTATTACAGTTGATTTTACCAAGTTTTTTTTTGTGTGTGGGTGCAAACCCATGAAATTAAACATAGCATTTTATTGTGGAATCAAGCATCATATGCCTGAAAGTCCGACTGAGTGATTAGTAAAATATTTTTGTGATTTATTACTTAAAAGGAAAAAGGTACCCCACTCTCAATTTTTTTTGCTGATTTGGAAGCAGTTGAAATTTCTATTCGGTTTTTACCTAAGAGTTGGGGAAGATTGGAAAGACTTTTATCTTTAATTTAAGAGTACCGAGTAATAATAGGTATATTATTTATAAGCATGGTTTTTGAGGCTTGGTACCGCTTTCCGGTTTATCGAGTGTGCCCCATAAAGTGACCAACAGCACGGCACTCGAATGTCAGGGATATGGCCAGGGTTAGGTAATCTAATCGCTGGCTACTCGTAAATCAAGATGCCAGATTGCCCGATTGTGGGCGATTAGCTGGTTGGCGGGTTGCCAACCCACACGCGCAATTATCGCCTCGAGATCCATTCGAACGCGTGTTAAATCAAAGATAATGCCGAACCACCAATCGTTTCAGATAGGGCGCCAACCCGGACCATCGAAACTGAAATCGGAGCTCCTCAATCGCCGCAGACGTCAGTCGCAGAGTGGACCTAGTGGCGATCGGTTCTAACGGAAATCTACCGCTCATCATCATGCTACCCGTCATCCGTCGTAATCTTATCGCCCTGCTGGCTTTGGGCCTGTGCGTCTGTCTTTGTTTCGGACCCGGTCCGGTGGAATCACGCACCCGGCCGAAGAACCTGGTCGACCGAAAGCTGGTAACGCTCTACGGCAGCACGCCGCACGTGGAGGCCCTTCTGGGTCCCGGACGTCCCACCCCGGATACCTACAAGACGCTGAGGAGTGCCTTCTTCCGGTACGAGGAGTCCCGCACCTTGGGCTACGATCTGGAGCTCAGCGAACGGGAAATCAAGGCCAACGGAACGATTATGACGGCCAAGTTGAAGGAGTTCGACGAGGGTTTGGTTACCCCGCATCTCTTCAAGCCCGCTCAGCATATATTCGATGTATTGGACGGCATCCGGGACACCGATCTGTTCAAGCTGCTGAAGAAAATGCCCAAGGGTGCGGTGCTCCATGCCCACGATACTGCTCTCTGCAGCACCGCGGCCATTATCAATCTGACCTACTACGATAATCTCTGGTCCTGCCAGCAGGATGGTGATCTCAGTGCCTCGGCTCTGAGGTTTTCCCGAGACAAACCCGAGGCCCTGCAGGACTGCAACTGGAGTCTGTTGTCCGATGTTCGAACCAAATACGGCGCAACCAAGGTCGACGAATATCTGGCCGAAAGACTCACCCTGTATCCCACCAAGAAGTTCGAGGACAACAACGCCGCCTGGACAACGTTCATGACCATTTTCAGTCTACTCGACGGTCTGGTGATGTACGCCCCCGTCTGGGCGGACTACTACTACAAGGCACTGGAGGAGTTCTACGAGGATGGAGTGCTGTACCTGGAGTTCCGCTCCCTTGTGCCCACGGTAAGTGGTTGGTAATTTAAGTGGGGTACTTAGATAGTGTTCTTCAGTGTTGGTTAACTGCACCCAAAAAAGAAATCGATATGAAGCGTAGATCGATTTTACATTATTTAAGATCAATTTTAAGTTGAATTTAAATGCGGCCAGGTAAATTTGAACTTGAGCCATGTATATTTCACGGGAAAATGCTTACTTTGTGTGTAGTTAAGACTACAAGAATTTGCTTTTACAACGAGATCTAATAACAATACACGATATGCAGCGTAGATCGATTTTACATTATTTAAGATCAATTTTAAGTTGATATGCGGTCAGGTAAATTTAAACTTGTCGAAAAGAGTATTTCATGTAAAAACGATATGGGTTTTGAATGACCTGAAATTTACATGGCCATATGGATTTTACGGGAAAATTCTTATTTTTGTGTGTGGCTAAAGCTATAAGACTTTGCTTTGCAACGAGATCTAATAACAATACACCCCAATTGGAACTTAAGAGGTTTAGTCTAACTTTAAGAAACTAATACTATTTGTTTGTATATTGCAGCTTTACGACTTAGATGGTACTGAGTACACCCCTATGGATACAGTGCGCATCTATGTGGAGACCCTGGAGAAATTCAAGGACGCTCATCCCGATTTCATTGGTTCTCGCATGATCTACGCGCCCATACGTAATACCAATTCAGAGGGAGTATCCGCCTATATCGAAACACTGAAAGAGATCAAGGTAAGATATCATAAAAATTTCCTTTCAAGAGCAATTCTAGAAAGCAACTCTTCTGACAGGACAAATACCCCGACTTTGTGGCTGGTTTCGATCTGGTGGGCCAGGAGGAGCTGGGACTTCCTTTGAGGGACTTCATCGATGAGCTTTTGACGATACCAGAGGACATTGACTTCTATTTCCACGCTGGGGAGACCAACTGGTTCGGTGCCACGGTGGACGAGAATCTGATCGATGCCATTTTGCTGGGCACCAAGCGCATTGGCCATGGATTCGGACTGGTCAAGCACCCGGTGGTGCTGGACATGCTGAAGAAGCTGAATGTGGCCATCGAGGTGAACCCCATATCGAATCAGGTGCTGCAGCTGGTCACGGACTTCCGCAACCATCCGTGCTCGCACTTTTTCGCCGACGGCTATCCGGTGGTCATTTCCTCGGACGATCCCTCCTTCTGGAAGGCCACGCCCCTGACGCACGACTTCTATATCGCCTTCCTGGGCATCGCCTCGCAGCACTCGGACCTGCGTCTGCTCAAGAAGTTGGCCCTGAACTCCATCCAGTACAGTTCGCTGACGGGAGATGCCCAGTTCGAGGCGCTGGAGAAGTGGCAAGTAAAGTGGGACCAGTTCATCGCCGATGTCAACGAGGAGGCCTCCAACCGGGGATCCCCCGGTCAGCGGATCGATTGACTAGCACGGGTGGTGGCAGCGCTGCTGGTCGCGTTCTCCCTGATGACCTCTAACCCTTGGCGCTAGTCGGAAACACACCCCTCTGCCTGCTGCACCCTCCACTTCACTCCGCAGCGGGCACTGAACATTGCATCCTCATCCGCATCCAGTTCAGAGCCATGTCCATGTCCTCATCCTCAATATCTAACCTTTGTAGTAAGCTAATTGTTATGGACTAGTCCTTAGTTAGATCTAGGCTAATGCTTTTCTGTAAACCCATGAGATTCTGTGCCACGCCCCTGAAACGGTTAAAGGCCGACAGCCCCTCCTGTGCCAAAGAAAACGAAAGCAATAAAGAACCCGTTTTAGTCGTAGCCGAAATAAGAGTGCATGCAATTTATGTTCGGAGCTCAGAGAAGCCTGTACGTAATCGTAATGAGTTGCCCAGCCACGGGGTTTGGAAACATTCAGTGATGGGTATGTGAGATGGGGACATGAGATGGAATATAACTTAAAAGCTTTCTTTAAACAATAAAAAAAATAATTTAGATAAAGTATTAAATAGCCTTAAATTGTGGTTTAATTCATTAACTTTCTATAGTCGTTTTAAAATTTGCTTTGGGTTGCCGGTCTCAAATATATCGTAGCATACTTCTAGACATCTTGGATTCCAAGACAGCATTTAAACATATTTTCATGGTATCTAGTATTTTATTAATAACTTAACTAAAGGGGAATATATAAATAAATGCAAAAATATTTTTCTTTCGCAGATCTTATAGATGTATCCTTTAATTTCCCGTCACGATGCCATCTCCATCGGGGGAGTGCACTCAAGGATTCGCCCGCATAAATCTCTCATTGCCTTTGGCTGCGTCGAGCACGCAGAAAAGTGGATGCGAATTTTAATGAATATGCGCTATGTGGTCGTTGAGGCCCCGTCCAAGTCCACCCATAGCCCCACACGGCAACCCGAAACCACCCATCATCCATCAGCCTCCTTTGAGCTGCGGATCGAGCCATCCGAATGCTGCAAATGTTTCAATTTTACGTGGCACTGTTTAGTGCTGCGGCTGCCGGCACAGGGTTCGATTTTGATTTGGCTAACGCCCGTAATGAGCTGGCGGAGTTTTATGGGCCGGCAGCGGATGCAGTCAGGTTCGGTCCTGCAAACATGTATGCGATGCGACCATAAAATTGATGGGCCAGCGTAAGAGTGTGTGGATAAGCATTTAGTGCTGCCAGAACTTTCTATTCAATGAACTGCCTTTAGCTGGGAAAAGTAGGGCGATGAAGGTGAAAAAAGGACTCTTGTAATTTCTATTGATTTAAGTGGATTTCTTTAAGTTAATAATAATTTCAAACCAAAAGTAGTATTCAGGAAAAACAAGAATTTTTCTTTTTTGTTTTTTTAAATTACAAATTTGTTGATTTAAGTTTGTTTATATTATTATGGTACTCAGAAGTACAACTATATGCCAAAGGTAAAAGGGAACACAAATCGGCTTCTCTGATATCATTAAATAAATTGTTGCAAGCTGCTTTCCTATTTTTAATTTGTAATCCAATCTTGCATTGGGCACGTGTCGATTCCTTACTGTACTGTAAATAAACATTAAAAATTTATTTTTTCTCAAAGCTGATTCAAATGAAAATTGTTTTTATCCTTTTGTTGAGTTCTGTCCTAGACTTACAATATTTCTAAAAACGGACAATAAAGCCAGATTTCTCTAAATCATAGCCAGTCGGGCATCACTTGAGCCATATCTGCCGCCGGCCGTGGCAGCCTCATCAATTTGATGTCGTGCACATTTAATGTGGTGTTGAGGGCGCGCGGATGCATAAAAAACCGAAGCCCAAACCCAGTCCGCGATCCAACGAGGCCATAAATTACTAATAAAAGCCGCACGAGAGTGTAGTTGACGGGGTCGCGGCTTTAGTGTGTTAAAGCGGAAATGCGTTGGGCGCCATTTTGTGCGTGGTGTGTGGGTGGTGCGGTGCTAACAAATGTGCGGCCTATTGACACATTCGCCGTGACACATTTCGTAGGGTAAATAAATTGTGTAAATCACATGTTCGGCTAACGAAATCCCAACCAAATTCTCAATGAAACCCTGGGCCTAAAGGAGTGGCGACCCAAGGGAATTCGATCAAATATGAAGGCCATCAGACGTGGGGCATCCACCGAATGCACACAGAATGCCCACTCCCCGGCCTCGGTGATTCGGTCACTGAGAAAACTCACGCCCACGGCATTCAAGATTCTCCGCCAGGCCATCGCCAGGGTTGAGGACTTGGGCACCATGGGCCAGAAGATCCGCCTGAACGATCGGGAACTGGAGGCCAACAAGGTGATCATGGCCGTCAAGAAGAAGGAGATAGTCAAGGGCTTACTGGACCCGAGCAAATTTACGCCGGGCCAGCACATCTTCAAGACCCTGACAGAGGTCCGCAAGTCGCCGATCTTCAATCTGATCAAGAAAATGCCCAAGGGCGGGGTGCTCCATGCCCACGATACGGCGCTCTGCAGCACCGAATATCTAATAAGTCTGACCTATCGCGAGAATCTCTGGATCTGTACCGCGGATGAGGGCTGCAAGGCGATTGCTTTTCGATTTTCCAAGGGGAAACCCACTCAGAAACCCCTGGAAAAATGCAGCTGGGAGCCAATGGCGGAGTTTCGGGAACGGCGCGGTGAAGATAATGTGACTGTATACCTCAGACGAAGATTCAGCATGTATCCCTTCTCCAAGTTCGTCTCGAACAATCAAGCCTGGGCACACTTCATGGGCATCTTTATTCTGCTGGACGGTCTGCTTTGCCACGCCCCCATTTGGGCTGAATACTATTACAACGCCCTCAAGGAATTCTCCGAGGACGGGGTGCAATATCTAGAGCTTCGATCCCTGCTTCCGCCGCTCTACTGCATCGATGGCGATGTGCTGACCATCCGGGACACGGTGGCCATATATAAATCGGAACTGGAGCGCTTCAAGGCCGACCATCCGGACTTTATTGACTCGAAGCTGATATATGCCCCGCTGAGAGGAGTGGAGCCCAGTGTGGTCGAGCAGTATGTAAAGACAGCTGTGGAACTAAATGTAAGTTTGAAGAAGATGAAATGAAGACAAACTTTTCTAACTTTAAGGGCCAAAGCGTCTAAATAATTAACACGTTTTAACATATTTTTTGAGATTTTAATTTTACTGTACCTATACACTGCTCTTACTTCTTATTTACATAATTGCAATTTTAAGAAAAACCATAAAAACTGTGGAATTTTGTTTTAATATAATATTTTATCGCCCTTGACTTACGAATCCCATTTTTTTTATTTTCATGGATAAAAAAAATTAAAAACACCTTTATAATTAAATGTTTATCACAAAAACTTACCTTTCAAATATGTTATGTATTTATTTATTTTTTTTATTACTATTTTATTGTTTTTATTATTTATTAAACAGAAAGAATTTCCCACCTTCATGGTTGGCTTTGATCTGGTGGGTCAGGAGGAGCTGGGTCGACCGCTGATAGATTTTGTGGAGCCCCTGCTGAAAATGCCCGAGCACATTAATTTCTACTTCCACGCGGGCGAGACGAACTGGTTTGGATCGGCCATCGATGAGAACCTGGTGGATGCCCTACTGATGGGCACCAAGCGGATCGGACACGGCTTCGCCCTCACCAAGCATCCGATGATGTTGCGACTGGCCAGACTGCTGGATGTCGCCATCGAGGTGTGCCCCGTGTCGAACCAGGTGCTCCAGCTGGGCGTGGACTACCGCAACCATCCGGCGGCTCTGCTGTTGGCCGCCAGTGTGCCCATTGTGATATCCTCAGACGATCCGTCCTTCTGGCGCTGCGCCCCGCTGTCCCACGACTTCTACTTCGCCTTCCTGGGCATTGCCCCGATGAAGGCGGACCTGAGGTTCCTCAAAAGCCTGGCCCTCAACTCCATCCGGTACAGTGCCCTGGTGGGCGAGGAAAGGCAGGTGGGCTACGAAAAGTGGCAGAAAAAGTGGGACAAGTGGATCGAGGATGTGGTGGAGAATAAGTGTGATTGAAAGAAGCTCCCCTTTTTAAATGAATACAACGCGGTAATTTTATATTTTCGCATTTAATTTATTTGAATCTCGCCTGCACACGGATAACTCTGACGCTAGCTAAGAGTTGACTTACATCGATAGAATTGATATGGGTGATGGCTAAGCTTCGCTCGTCACATGACCTAAATCAGAGAACTCGTTTCGGGATATTTTCGGGGGATATGTGTGGTTGGGTGTGGGGATACGAACGAAACATTGACCGTGGCATTCGCATTGGTATTTTCCTTATGGAATGCGGGCCTCGTCCATTTACATCCAGCTAAATTCTTTGTTCAAGCAGAATCTTAGGCGTATGTACGTGTAGATCTGAATACAAGTGAGTATATAGCACAGTTATAACTTGAATGCACACGAATTTAGCATTTGCTCATTTGGTTTTGAAGTATTTAAGCCTTTTACATCTATGTCTTTAAAATTATTATTACCATATAAGTTATTATTGGGCAGCATTCCATTCAAATGATTTTCTGAAAATTTTTCTTTTCGTTTGTTTTTTGTTTTCTTCTTTTTGTCGCGCTTGTTTCTGTGTATAGATGCTTGCAAAAATATTTGTAATATTCGGCCTGTGTTTGTTGTTCGCCCTTGGTTTAGTACTAACCCTATCGTTCACATACCTAAACTTACTGCCTCGATATGTTCAAATCCTAAGTATAACTCGCATTCGTCCTTCCAATTTTCCTTTACAATCTTAACCATCCTTGGGGCCTTAAGTATCGCTATGCTGTACAAATCTTAAACTCTACTCTCCTCTACAAATATCTCTGCCCTCGGCCGATCGGGTTTTATTTTATGGCTTGCGTGCGGATTTTATACGCTATGTGAGTTGCTGCCAGTGCTGTTGATGTTGCTGCTGTACATGTTGCTGCTGCTGCTGTACATGTTGCTGTTGCTGCTGTCGAAGCTTTTCGGCCTTCCAACTGGATTCGCCCACACTCAGTGGATAGGGTATAATATCCGGCTGTTGTTCCGAGGACATGTTGTCCACATCGTTGTGGTCCATGTTGTTGCTGTTCTCGACCACACCCTCTTCGCCGCTCTCCTTGTTGTTGCCAATATTCTTGCTGGTCGGCTCATTTGGTTCGCCATTAATTTCGTGGTTCCGGCCCTGGTTATTGTTTTTGTAATTGTAAAAACCATATTTATTTGTGTTAGACATATTGTCGTTGCTGTTGCTGCTGATGTTGCTGCTGTCGGCGTTGCAATTCTGTGGGGCAGGAAAAAGTGGAGAGGAGGGAAACATTTTAATATAAATTTGTGCTTAATTAAATTCTTGTCGCTCTTCCGGAATATTTGGTATGCAGCGGTTTTCGATTTTCGCGGGCTTTAACAATGGCCAAGAATAAATATTAAAAATTGTAAATATGAAAGAAGTCAATGTCAACTATATTGTTCGGAAGTAAAAATTCGGTTCCTAATGTTGATTTTTAAAACATAAACTGATATAAGGTTTGGGTAATTAATTAATTTGTTTAAAAGTAAATTTCCCGTTTTTATTACTATGGGCAAAAGATTTTTTTATTTTATTGATACACGTTATCTCAAAAGCTTCTAGATTATTTGTTTCGGTCGATTTAGTCAAGTGGTTTCAGCCTGGTAGATAAGGCACCTCAAGAACCGCAAGGTGCACTTGAACCACTTGTAGCTATTGCAAAAATTACACAAACAACACATTTCACAGAAAACAAATAGTAACAGCAATTACATTTTACATATATGGTGTGGGGAAAACAAATAATGATAAACTGACATTTGATATGAGAAGCCGTGTTACTTTTAACTTTACAAGAGGGTAGATAAGCCTTGACCAAGTAAACACAAGGTAAATGTTCCCTGTAGGAAAATATTATAGTCCACTAAGGCATTTGATTATGAAATATGAAATGTAATTGGGTCAATGTCTAGACAGATAGTTGGAACCGCAAAAAGGCACGGACTAATTTGATATAAAAGGCTGCATTTAAATGCAGAAGCTAACAACTTGAATTTGTGCTATAGAGCTACGTAATCAATCGCTTAAAAACATCATGAGTGCCTGTACAGACGGACCTGCTTTTGGAAAGACAAAGGAGACGGCCAGGATAGTAATTATCGGAGCTGGGGCCTCAGGAATCGCGGCAGCCACTAGGCTTTTGGAACAAGGATTCAAGAACGTCCAACTTTTCGAGGCGGAGGATCGCATCGGGGGTCGCATCAACACGGTTCCCTTTGCCGATAGCTTCGTCGATCTGGGAGCTCAATGGTGTCATGGGGAGGAGGGCAATGTGGTCTACGAGAAGGTCAAGGACCTGGATGTCCTCGATAGGACCGGGGACTTTGCAGGTTACTTTGTGCGCTCCAACAAGGAAATCCTCTCCGACGATCAGGCCAAGGCTCTTATGGAATTTAAAGACAATTTTGAGATGAAGCCCGATTGGGAGGGATCCGTGGGTGATGCCATCACCGAGAGCTACTGGAAGGAGGTTGGCCAGCAGCTGGTTCCCAACGACAGGAGCGTCGCCAAGGAGGCTCTGGACTCCTTGAAGCGGCACATTTGCAGTGAGGATGCCTGCGATCATGTCTTCGAACTTTCACCTCGAAGCTATCTAAACTTTGCTACGTCGGGTGGCGATCAGAATCTCAGCTGGCGGCGAAAGGGCTACTGGAAGTTTTTGAGCCTCCTGCTGAATGCCAACGAGGATCAGCCGGGTGACCAGGGAGATCTCAAGGGACACGTGCAGCTCAACAAACGGATAGCTGAGATCAATTGGTCGGGAGACGGTGAACTGACCCTTCGCTGTTGGAACGGACAAATAGTCTCGGCGGATCATGTCATTTGTACCGTCTCCCTGGGAGTTCTTAAGAAGAAGCACCAGAAGCTCTTTGTCCCAGCTCTTCCGGCTGCCAAAGTCAGGTCCATCGAGGGCCTCGGACTGGGCACTGTGAACAAGTTCCTCCTCGAGTTCGAGGAGCAGCCAATGCCGGAGAACATGAGAGGCGTCGCCTTCCTTTGGCTGGAGGAGGATCTCAAGGAGCTGCGAGGTGGCAAGTTCTTTTGGCTGGAGAGCATCAGCACCGTTCATCGAGTGGATCGTCAGCCACGACTGCTGGAGGGTTGGATAATCGGAGCCCATGCTCGGTATATGGAGACCCTCAGCGAGGAGAGGGTCCTCGAGGGTCTGCAGTGGCTCTTTAGGAAGTTCCTGAAGTTCAGCGTGCCCCATCCGAAAAGCTTCTTGCGCTCCCAGTGGCACTCCAATCCGAACTTCCGTGGCAGCTACAGTTTCTACCCCACCTATGCCGATGAACTTCGCACGGGACGCACCGATCTGGGGTCACCATTGGTTCATGTCTCGGGACGTCCAAGGGTCCAGTTCGCCGGAGAGGCCTCCAGTCGTAACCACTTCTCCACGGTCCATGGAGCCACTGAGTCGGGATGGCGCGAAGCAGATCGCCTCAATGAATTCTACAAAGGACGAGCTGAGAACTAAGGATCAAGTTTCCCCAAAAAATTGTCAGAAACAAACTCTATTTTGAAATCAATTCTTAGTTCTTCATTCTTAATTCATTCTATAAAGATTATTTTAAAATGTAGCTAATCGGTTTAGTAATTGGCATTAACAAGATATAAGATAAGGAAATTTGTCCTTAATTTTATTGACAAATAAATTACTCAATAAACCCGAAACGTAATATTTGTTATTTGGTTAATTAAAAATCGTTAGAAAAGTATTTTAAATCAGATAAATAATATGATTTTGTAAAGGTAAATGAGAAACAATCATTATCAGGTATTTCTAACACCTCAAGCAATTGGAAGTTCTCGTAACATTTACATATTCGCTTAACCTTTCAGCACCCAATCAAAATTCTTGTGTAAATAACACACCTGAATGCAGAACTATAGTTGCAAGGAATTTAATCTACTCAATGCAAGGGTGTGCCATCGTGCTTCTGCATAAAGGAATCCTAACTAAACCCATTTAATCCCGACGCAAGTGAGTTAGCTGTACAATTAAGCCGAATGTTCCACTCCCAGCTATGTCAAGAGTGCCAGCTCCGACTGTCAGCCACTCACTATCCCCATCTCGATCCCCATCCCCAACCACTTTCCACTTCACCCTCCCCTTTAACAGTCGCCATTGCAATCAGCAAACACAGAGAAATACTTTGCCAGTCATAACAACCATTACCTGGGCCATAACACAAGTCCGGCAAAGAACAGAAACAGAGACGGTAACAGGAATAGGAACAGGACGACTGCTCTGCCAGCTAGGCAAATGTGTGTCCTTTGGTCAAACAGAGACTTGTTTAACATTGTCACTCGAGGAGTCACGAGCACGTGGAGGCATGGAGGCACTGATCACAAAAAAGGGGTTCTTCAAACTGTGTTTCGGCGTTTTTATGATGATCAGGAGTTCCGAAAACCAGAATAAGGAAAATAAAAAATCTTATCTGTTAACAATAATAAGATTGTTTTCTTAGATTCTCAACAGAAAAACAGGCTATTAACGGAAATTATTTCTTAAAAGGGTTTATAAAACAATCGATAGCACGATTGATTCCATCGATGGTTTTTAAATTTAGGATGGCACTATAGATGATTTTAAAATCTAGAAAATTTAGCCAAACTAAATTTCATTTTTTGTGTCTTCAATCGATGTTTTTACAAACTAATTCCTTACTTTTTAAGACAATATTCAAGTTTAATTTTTAAAAAATTGCACATCAGTAAATTTGTTATAAGAAAAACTCTCCATTAAATATTTCTTATTTTATTTATCTAAAGGTCTTTTTTCCCTCAGTGTTTCGGTACAAAAAACCACATATCCGGCTGGCTATACACTGAAGGCAACGGAACCAGCGACTGGCGCTCCTGCAGCGCATTAACCGGGGGATCGGCACACTGGATTGGAACACGGAAGGGGAAGGGAGCAGGTTCAGCGGAAAGGCTACAACAGATGTGACCAACTTGTTCTCGGGCTTTCCTTCTTTCGACTCGAAGGGCGACAAAGTCGCATATGTAATTGGGAGGTGGCGAATTGGGGATGGGGCGATGAACTACGAGCAGGATACGACTACGACCACCAGGGCGACATGCAAACAAACAAACAAATGCAAGCATACAAAGCCAGACTGAGCATACACAGAGAGAAAAAGTGGTAATTCTAGAGCTCGGCTTTCCCAACAATTACCATAAAATCCGATTTACGACTTTAATTTGGTTTAACGTGAAGTTAAGTTAAATGGTTCAACAAAACTGAAACATCTTGCGGTGGCTTCGAAAGTATATTGAAACCTATTTATTAGCCACATTTTTAAATAAATTTTAAGTCCACAAAAAGTTAGTTTAAATTTAAATTATTTAATCGAGTGCATAGTAATGCAATCTGCAGCTGATATTAAAAATCCGAATATATATTTTTATATGCTTCCTAAAAGTATTTCTTCTGACTTGAATTTTTAATTCTATAAATATCGATTGAACTGAAAATTCAGAATTTTGCAGGATACTCCATTTTTTTCTCTCTGCCTAATGGGGTGGAATGGGTGGTCACATAAGGATAGAGCAGAAGCAAGGATATTTTGAATGTTTTGGCCCTGGCTTGGCATAAATTTGAATTTTCAACATGGGCAGCCAAAGTGCTTCTGCTGCTTCTGCCGGCCGGCAATTGCTGGGGCATTTCGGTAGTGAAATCACATGGCCAGTGCCTCTGATCCTGCTCCTGATTTTGCTCCTTCTCCTGATTCCTGGCTCCTGTTGGCCTGTTGTGGTTTTTGTGGCCATCCATGGCTGGCCTGGTCTGGTTGGCCTTTGGGCTGCGTTTTTTGTGCTGCACAAACTACTGGTATGTGCTAAACTGATTTCAGCTTTCCGTATTCCGTACGTAATCTGAACTTTTGCATGTGTGAGACCTCAGTGGCCACACCCCCTCCCACTGCCCCTTACCCGGCGCCCACGCCCCCTTGTATTGAATCGAGTGTTTGCAAATGTTCCGAAAAACAGGCGCAATTACAATGTTGTTTGCTGCTCGCTGCAAATGAGTTGGTCAACACACTCAGAAAAAAAATCGCCCTGAATTTTAGAAAATCGCCATACTTTTTAAGCCAAAGGCAGCTCGCCTTGCCTTTTAGAAAAAATATTTCTAAAAATTAGAAAAAATTTTCTAAAATTTAGGGTTAGTTTTTGCAAAATTGAATAAGAAGAAGAAAAAAATCGGGGAATCGGGAGTTATGCCGACTCCACCCCTCCCCTCTGTCGGTGTGGGGTGTTGTTGTTGGGGTTCTCGTTCCTCAACTTATTTTTCTCTCCTCTATTTAAACACATGGATGACGTCACGATGCTTGTACACAAACACACTTTTAATCTTAAATTGTAACTGAAATAATAACTGAAATTATTATATTATTTATTAATGATAAACATAAAAATCAAATAACTTACTATCCGGAGAAAAACATTTTGGTCGCTCGCGGGATTCGAACCCCTTACCTCACAGTTTGCAGTCAAACACTCTACCAGCTGCGCCAGGGAAGCATCACGAGAGGCGCTGTACAAAGTACATTCTCATTCTGTTCTCTTGGGTTCTCGGTTTATACTCTTATTTATCCATTATGTGCGTGTTAGCTTACCTAAATCCTTATTTGTATTAAAGTATACATTTTAATGCGCCAAAAAAAAAAAAAAAGACGCAAAAAATGTCCGCCTCGACGTGGGATCGAACACACGCTTCCGAATATAGGCGTAGAAAACAAATAATCCGCTCGCATTAGACCCCTAGGCTACAGATTGGGCCAATTTCCTAAATTGTAAGGCTATTTTTTCTTAGTTTGAATGAAAAATTTCTGAATAACAGAAAATTTTTCTAAAAGTGGATAACAAGAGGAGTTGATCTAATCAGGGTAAGTTTTTCTTATTATTTAGAAAAATATTTCTGAAAAATAGAAATATTTTCTGAATTTCAAGGCGATTTTCAAAGTATGGCGATTTTCTAAAATTTAGGGCGATTTTTTTTCTGAGTGCATGTTTGGCTTTTATTTGCCTTTTTTCTGTGTACGAATGCGTTTGAATTTTGTTAGAATTTTGCTAGGCTTGAAATTTAAAGAACCGAGCTCAGCCATCAAGTTTTTATGACTAGGCCAAGACACAAACAAAAACAATCTTATGGGAAAACTGACATTAAAATTGGCCATAAAATATAAATGAACTGTGGAAAGGCAGTAATTTTCAAGCGTGTCGGGCAGCTTGCATCACAATTATTTTACACTTCGACAGTCCAGGTATCAAGTTGCCCAGCAAAGTACTCACACTCAAAATAAATTTAACCCTAAATTTTAGAAAATCGCCATTAAAATTTCTTTTTTCTAAATACAAGAAAGTTATTTCTAAATCTAAGGACATTTTTCTTAAGTCAAGAAAGTTTTCCTTAAATCCAGGAAGTTTTTCTAAAATGTAGAAAATGGTTACCATGAACTAAGATCACCCTAAAATCTAGGAAAAATACCCTTAAAATTAGAAATTATTTTCTGAAAAATAGAAAGGCAAACAAAAGAATGAAATATTTTGGCAACGCCTTTTCTAAAAATGAGTGCCCTAACCCTAAAATTAAGCTAACCCTAAATAATAGAAACATTTCCTAAAAAGTAGAAAGTTTTTCTAAAAAATAGAAATAGTTGTTTTCACATGCTCTGGCACACCAAAATGTTCAATGCCAGAACTTGTCAGCTGTCGGGCGGCTGTACTCGTGGCGCAGACGGTTAAAGCACTTGGTTAACAATCGAATCGACCCTGGTTCGAGTCCCAGAGCAAACTATTTTTACCTTTTTTTTAAGTTTTTTTTTTAGTTTTTTTTAATTTATTTTATTGTTTTTTTTTTAATTTGTTTTTTTTAATCTTTTTTATTATTCCTTTTTTTTTATTGATGGCAAGCGGTAAACCGAAAATAATTTGGTTTATATTTAGCTATTTACTATATACTACACATAATATAAATTGCGATAGCATAAATATATGCATATGTATATACGTATGTAAATAAGTAAAACGCGAATGGTCAAAATTATGCAATTAGTATTCAAATGTGTTGTCCGCTTCACCCTTTACATACAATGCTCGGTTTGCCACAGCAAGTTTAAGTGCTACAATGGCCCAGTATGTAGGCCATTCGCTCCTCGCGCGGGAGACCCGGGTTCGAATCTCACCGAAGGACAAGTAAAAATGTAAGTTTTTTTCATGAAGATAAAATATTAACTAATCATAATTTCTACATTCCCAATCTTCCGCAGTCCCGTAGTCCACACTTACAACCACATTTGGCTTTGGTTAGATAAGAAATCCAAGCACAAATACATAATAATAAATACATAACCTTCAACATTCACAATATACAAGACAGACAACGCCTGCATATGTATATAGGAAGGAGTACATAATATATACGTATGTACAAAAAAAATCATGATTGAACATGTTTTTTTGTTTTGTTTTTCATTTCTATTTTTTAGGAAAATTTCCTACTTTTTAGAAATTTTTGCCCTTAAATTTAGTAAAACTACCCTAAAATTTAGAAATATGACGTCAAAAAAAATCAAAAATATAGAAAATTGTGACCCTAAAATTTAGGGCGAGCTTGTCTTGAAGACAAAAGTAGGGCGATTTCCTTGACTTTAGGGTTAATTTTATTTTGAGTGCAGATATTTATATGAGTTTATTAACAATTGAGTTGAAGGAAAAGGAAAGATTTTGGAAAATTGGATTCAATATTTGCCATAAATTGTTCCAGACTGCTTTAAAATGTAACTGAAACTATTAGGTCATAAGTTAACTATCTTTAAAAGCTATTATTCAACTACAAGTAAGATATTCAACTTATATCTAATCTTCCGTAACAGAATTATGGGCTGAATTGTAGTTATTAAACGCTTACCAGAAAGTGATAAACGATTAAAGGCCGAAAATAACTAAGTACGCCGATTAGATATGAAGGAGAACGAATAATAGTACAAAAAAAAAAAAAATTTTGTTAAATATAAAAAGAAACTCGTTTTTATTTATTTTTACTACAATAACTTCCAAGCTGGAAGAGGTATACGAGTAATTTCTTCACTGCCACTGAACAGAGCACTTAAATTAAATATACCTATACGCGTATTAAGTTTTCACGCCCCATTGCCTGTGGCCAATCTCGATTTCAGGGCTTTCGAAAACATTCACGCCAGAAGACTCAAGGGGTTTAAGCTCACAGCTGAGCGGTTCGCGACCGGTAGTAGAGGTGCAATCGATCCGCCTCCCGCCAACCCGTTTCCACGGCTCCATGGACCGTGGAGTAGAAGTGCTTGTGCGAGGCTTCGCCGGCGAACTGGAGGCGTGGCCTGCCGCCCACATCCTGGAGCGCCGCCTCCAGATCCCAGGCACCGGTTCTCAGCGCATCCGTGTAGGTGGAGCGGAAGGTGTAGCTGCCCCGGAAGTTGGGATTCGCATGCCACTGGGTGCGCAGCATACGCAATGGCTGGGCCACCGCGAAGGGCAGGAACTTGCGGAAGAGCCACAGCAAACCCTCCCTGACCTTCTCCTCGGTGAGGGTTTCCATGTGCCGGGCATGTGGCCCAATGATCCAGCCCTGCAGGATGCGTGGCTGCCTGGAAACGGGATAGAAGCCGAAAACGCTCTCCAGCCAAAAGAGTTCGGAGGCCCGCAACTCCTCCAAATCCTGCTTCAGCCACAGGCAATTGAAGCCGGGCCAATCTGCAGGCAGCGGGGGATGCTCGAACTCCAGGAAGAACTTATCCACTGTGCCCAGTTTGAGGCCATCGATGGCCCTAATTTTAGCAGCTGGCAGGGCGGGAACAAAGAGCTTCGCATGCTGCTCCTTGAGAACTCCCAGGGAAACTGTGCAAATGACATGATCCGCTGTGATCACCTCACCATTCCAACAGCGCAGAGTCAACTCATCCGCACCCTGCCAATTAATCTCGGCAATTCGCCTGTTGAGCAGCACCCGACCCTTGAGGACACCCAGATCTTCGGGCTGATCCTCCTGGGCCTTCATCAGTAATCGCAGGAACCGCTTGTAGCCCTTGTCCCGCCAATTGAGCAGCAGTTCGCCCTCGCAGAGCCAGTACTCTAGGTGACCCTTGCCGGAGACTTCGAAGAGGTGATCGGCTGCCTCCACGGATGACTCGAATTTGTGAAAGACTTCCAGGAACTCCTCGGCTATGGTGCGATCAATGGGCGGCAACTTGGCCAGTTCCTTCCAGTATTTCATGTTGATATAATCACCCAGGGAGCCCTCGAAGTCCAGGAGCTCCGTCTGCCTGTCCAGTATTGAGTTGTCGGCTATATCCTTAAGTTTACCGGCTATATCTTCGGATAGGACTTCCCTGTTGGATCGCACGCACTTGTAGGTTTCGTAGTGGCGTTCCGTAACCTCCAGGAGTTGCAGATCCTTGACCTTATCGTACACCACATTACCCTTCTCGCCATGGCACCACTGGGCGCCCAAATCAATCACATTATCGGCAAAGGGAATCGTGTGGACACGGCCGCCTATGCGATCTTCGGCCTCAAGAAGCAGAACATTCCGGAATCCCAACTCCAGGAGACGGGTGGCAGCTGCTATTCCAGCGGATCCCGCTCCCACGATCACAATCCGAGCGGTTTGTTTGGTCTTACTAAGCAGACGCACAGATGCGGAACTCATGGTGGCTAAAATATCTGAACATATATTTCTTATAACAACCGCCCGTGTTTCTCGTTCGACGTTCGGCTAGCAACTAAATCGGGTTTCTTTACTTTCACTCATTCTCACCACATTGTTTTCTAGTTTTTGCCCTCTTCTTCCCTATCTCTGCATATTTATGGGCCTCTGCGATAAGAACCCACCCTGCTGATAAGGAGGGTTTCATTGTTGCAATTAAAGCGAGTATAAAGCAATTGGCGGGCTTACAATGCATTATCAGCATTTAATTTTAAATTGCTAAGAAAGCGCAGAAGAGAAAAACTACAAATTAAGAGAGGGCTGCCTTGCTCTTAAATTCCTCTCACATACAAAAATAGCATTCGATTTTACAATATTTCACATTTCTGAAATTAGCATAAATCGTATGTGATCGCGAAAAGCTTATTAGCGCAAGCTACCGAGTAAATTTGCATATTTGATTGCTTATCAGTAAATTATTTTTAAATCGTTAAATTCCATTAATGTTTATAAATTAGAGATTAACGCTTTGTTTTTTTTTTACATATTTTTCTTTTGAGCATTTGTTATTTTTGCAAATGTACATTAATATAATCGGCATATTTTTGTATTTAAACATTTTTCAAATATTTATCTTTATGTATTTAATTTGAATTTTTTTCAAAAAATATATCTGCAATATTTTGGTACAAATTATTCCTAATAACTTTTCAAATAAAAATGTATAATAGGCTAAAAGTTTTCAGTTATCTTGCACGCCTAAGCCGATTCAGGACATCAACATTCTGTGGATTTGGTGCAATTCTTCCACAATCGACTACAATAGTCAACTACTTTCAAACGAAAAAACCCATTCAGAGCTTACAAAGGCAGCGCAAAACAAAAGCCTCACTTTAGGCGAACAAACAATCGCACGCGCACCCGCATAGCGTTTTAAACTCGCCACCCAAACGAATGCAACAAAATGTTATCGTTCGGTTTTCCAGTGGCGCAGTGAGCGAGCTCCTTTGATGAATGTATTCATAAAAATCCAATCATTGCAATTGCACAGCGCATACGGGCGGCGAAGGCAAAGGCATTCAAGATGAATTCGCCAAAATAATGGGAAAACACAACAGACACAACCAGAGCTGACTAAATAGGATTATGAAGAAAAGGCTAGTTAATACCCAGTCAAAAAAAGTACAATTTCCTTCTTAAGAACAGATATTCAAATAAAATAAAATTAAATAAAGTACTTTTCTTCAAGCATTTAAAATGATTTTGGAAATTAAAATAATTAATTGTTACCCTTTAATCTTTATCAGTTTTGTTTATTCTTAAAAAATGGTTCAAAATTGTAGTGATCTTTTAGCATAAAATATTCTACTCCCATAATTTAAAACTTCGTACCCACCCTCAATCCTATCATAACCACTCTTCTTGTAATATAAGGGGTATTTCCAATAGCAAGAAGGGAACGTTCCCAACAACAAAAGATGCGATTAAAATGACAAGTGAAAGCAATTTTCGTGCATCTGGTACAGCCAGTGCGGAGGGAAAAGCTGAAGGGGAAAAATGATTGTGGAGGTAAGAACACGACCGAATGATTGCCTCGAATGGCATGCGAATAAAGATGGCCAGTGTAATATGACATCGTTTATGGGCCTCCTGCCGCAGGAACATCGAGACGTCAGGACAAGAAAGCCCAAAACCCAAAACCCAACCCCTCTGGTACTCACCTTCGTGCTGCATTCACATTTCAGTATCCATTCGACGGCAATGAATTTATTCTCGATTTGTATCTGATGTGATTGCAGGAATTCCTGATCGATTGGCTCCAAGGCGACCGTGTCCCATAGCTCTGCATTCTCGAGCAGCGCCTCTCGGTCCACATCCTCATCATCATCATCATCATCATGGGTGTCCTTTAGCTGCCTTTTTCTGCCCAGTTCCCGTCGCTGTACGTAGTTAATTGGATCGACAGCATTTAAAGGGCACAACAGCTCCACCTGAAGGACCAACAAAAAAAAAGATGGATATGAAGGCAAAAGAGAATCATTGTAAAAAGATTGAAGATGTAAAGAGCAGAAATCTCAGTTCAGAGGCTTTCCTCTCCTGCGAAAAAATACATTTGCTAGGATGAGGACTTGTGAACAGGTGTTAAATTGATTCTGACATCTGGGCAGCATTTGACTTTTAATTTTGCTGCCATTTGGCATTGGCTCTGGCTGCTGCAGCTCTGCAAATTGACGTTTTAATGCAATTTGCTTTTCAATTAAAAGTAAAAGGAAGCAGGAAGGCAATAGCCAATAAACTAAACAACAACGGCATTGTAAAACTGTCTTGTGGGTATTACCGGCAAGGGAATTCCTGTCAATTATATTCCGGGGTATCAAATAAATATGCGAGTCTGTTTTGCAATGCACATAAATAAATATGATAAAAGGTTAATCGCGGTGACCCACAGCATAAATCCAAGAATAAATAAACAATAAAGAATGAATAATATATGTCAGAATGATTTTGATTATGCACGCAAATCGAATTGATAAAAAATATTTGCCTGCCTGAATACAAACAAATTAAATTGATGAAAGATATTAGTCTGCCTGAATAGCTTTCAATGTGTTGATGCTTTGATTTATTTATACATACTTTGCTTATGGCTTTAAATAAAATATTCAACGGTATTTGGCTGTTAAATTAAAACATGTACATTTTTTTCGAATTTTGAAATAGTTTTCAGAAATAAGATATTTTATATTGGATTATTCCTGTCGGTAGAGGATAATTTAATAAATGTTTCTCATAGAGTAATCCAACTTTAAAACTAATATTAAGTTAAATAAGATATAAATGTTTGAAATAAATTAATAAATAATGTAATATATTTCCAGGGTATCATTGCGTTTTAAATCTGTCACTATCCCAAAGGCGTCGTCTTTTAATGGTTGTTGATGGGATTGCTTTCAAATTAACGGTAATTTAATTGAAAACGACAAATAGCAAACAACAAGCAAGGACACCGGGAATGCAAATTTCTGCAAACTGCAAATGGAGCAATGGAAGGCGAAGGAAAAGCAGAAAACTCAATCCGCGAGGATTTTCATCTCTCCTTCTTAGACGCCAGGTGGTCGGACTTTAAGCTCAGCCCGTCTTAGCCCAGTTGCCACTTGGCAGGTGCGGAATATAGCCAGGGAATCCCTTCCTCATTTCTCTTTCCCACTCACCTGTATCGTGGTGGACACCGCCGGGGCACAGCACTTGACCCCGCGATGGCAACGGCCGCAGAGCTTCGGTCGATACAGCTTTCGGGAAACGCAGTCGCCCAGTCGAATCCTGGCAGGACCTAGGCGCTGGATACTCCGGCACTCGTGGCCCTTCTGCGACAGAAAAATATACAGAAAAGTGTAAAGACACAGATATTAGAGGAGATTGTTTTCAAAAAGAAATAATATTTAAATACGAAAAATAAATTCTATGCCAAAAAAATTGCGATAAAGCAAGTTTTTAATCAATTGATTAATATATAAAATGTAGTCTAAATACTTATTGTAAAGAATATTTTGTTAAACAAAATTATGCCAATTTATTTTAAAACTTAAAAATCGAGCATTTCCAATATTTTTTTTAAATTTGGTATACAAAGCTAAGCTAGAAGATAATTTCCTTATTTGTTAAAAAACTATTTTGCAATTTTAAATACAAGTTTAAAAAACCATCCCAGTCCTTTCGTGATTCCCCAAAGTGCCAAAAGAGCTTGGTCATTAAAGGGACACTCACTCGTATCCTGTGGGCAGGCTCCTCGTGCTCCTTGTGGTGATGATAATGCTGATGGGAGTGGCTGTGGGCGTGATGATGCTTCCGCTTGTGCGTCAACGAATGGCTCCTGCCCCGCTTATTGTCCTTGTGGTCGTCCTGGTCGCACTTGCGATTCTCGCAGAGCCGCAAATTGCTCAGTTGATGGCAGCCCGCGTGGGTGGAGGTGTGCCGCGTGGCGGTGCCAAGGCCGCAGCTCCGGCTGCAAGCGGTCCAGTTGCCGCTGGTGGTGCTGTTGTGGCAGGTGGCGTAAACTGCAACGAGTGGAGGAGAAAGGGTTGCTAATGAGCAAGCTTATGATCGGGGGGGCGCATTAATCACCGCGAAAAGACACGAAGCATGAGACTTAGGGCATTCAGGAAAAGCATCGATCTTAGGTAAAGGATAAGTTTGGCAATAAGACTACCACTTATTTACCTCAATTAATGCACTTTAAATCGTCATATTCCGAAAATTCGCTTTTACAAGGCATTTTTTGGCAATATTTAACCACAGTTACAGGGTTCTTGGATTTTAACTTAATTAAAACATTTGACAAATGCAACTCATTATCTTTCGAATTCAAAAAATCAAATAAAATTTTACCATTATCAGCACTTTAGCACAAAAATAGCTAATGTAAAAAATGCTGATTAATATGGACTTTAAAAACTATTTAAAATTATAATTACCTTACCTTAAAAATATTAATTTTTCCTCTCAGAAACAATCGATTATAATTATGCATTTTCTGTCTCCCTAAAAACTCTTAATACATTCTCGTTGAAATTTAAATCAAAACGTTGCCATTAAAATTAATCCGCTCAACATGAAGCCTGAAAGAACATCCTTTTCCAGCACTGAAGTGTACGCCGTCGGCGATTGGGATAAGCTGAAGATACTCCTATGGAAGAATTGGACTCTTCAGTGGAACCAAAAAATCCAAATTCTATGCTGTCTGCTTATACCAGTGTTGCACATGCTCCTTATTTTACTTATCCGCCTGATGGTGCTACCCGAATCGAAGCCGGAAATTCGCTACCAACCGGAATCAATATCGGACCTCAAGCTTTACATGACAAAGGTTACACAGGGAAATAGAATACTGCACGAGAATGGATCACTTAATATACCACGTAATTTCCTTTGCTACACTCCAGATTCGCCCGTTAATAGTGCTATTATGAAGGCTGCGGTTCTGCGGCTCAGACTTCTGGGGACTCGACCCTATGACACCGCATTGCATATGGAACGGGATATGGTGATGCATAACTTTTTGGCTGGAGTGCAATTCGAAGAGAATTCTGGGGCCAAAATTGACATTGGATATCCGCTTAATTTCAACTATTCCCTGCGCTTTCCCAGTGAGTTGCGGACCATGGAAGGGCCCATTATAGAGACATGGAGTACGTCCAGATTATATGTATCCTATGACGCCAGTGGACCCCGTAATAGAGAGCAGAACGATGGTGGAGTTCCGGTCGGTTATATTAGGGAGGGCTTTCTGCCCATCCAGCATGCCCTTACCATGTCCTGGCTGACCTTGGCCGCTGGCATTAAGGATAATGATCTTCCGCAAATACATCTTCAGCGATTTCCCTATAGAGCCTATAATCACGATCAATTGCTGAACGGCCTGCGTCAACTACTGCCCTTCATAATCCTGCTGAGCTTCATTTATCCCTGCTCGGTGGTTACCAAGTATGTGACGGCCGAAAAGGAACTTCAGCTCAAGGAGATAATGAAACTGATCGGCGTTCACAACTGGCTGCATTGGGTGGCTTGGTTCATCAAGAGCTATGCGCTGCTTATGATGGTGGCCTTTCTTATAATGCTAATAGTCATGGTAAAGTTTTACTCCTCCGTGGCTGTGTTTACATACTCCTGTTGGTTTCCCGTTCTGATATTCCTGCACACCTATGTCGTCTCCAGCATTTGTTTTTGCTTTATGATTGCGGTTTTCTTCAAAAAAGCCAGCACAGCATCGGCAGTGGCTGCGATTGGCTGGTTTATAACGTACATACCATATTCGTTTGCCTTCTACTATTACCATCGTCTTTGCCTCTGGCAGAAGCTACTCATTTCCCTGATATTTTCGAATTCGGCCCTGGGATTCGGCATCCATGTCATTATAATGTGGGAGGGAACCGGCGAGGGAGTCACCTGGAAGAATATATTCCACCCCGTCTCGGCGGACGATGATCTGACCCTGTTCTATGTGATCATAACTATGACTTTGGGGGCATTAATTTTCCTAACTATATGCCTTTATGTGGAACAGATACGCCCTGGTGAATTTGGAGTACCTCGTAAGTGGAACTTTATGTGCCGCAAAAACTTCTGGCGACGACTTATGCCTTTTTCGGTGGTGGAAAACTCCCAAGGAAACCCAAGATCTAAAGTGGCAAGTAAAAAGAGTTGCAAAAGTACTAGAGAAGTGGGCGTTCAGTTGTGCAACATTCAAAAGACCTATGGCAAACATAGAGCAGTCAAGGGATTGAGTTTAAAGATGTATCGCAATGAAATTACAGTATTACTGGGTCACAATGGAGCTGGCAAGACCACAACGATAAATATGCTGACGGGAATCGTAAGACCCACAAATGGAACGGCCATAGTCAACGGCTATGATATTCGAGACCAAATGGATAAGGCTCGCCAATCGCTGGGGATTTGTCCGCAAAATAATATACTCTTCAGGAACCTGAGCGTTCGCGATCACATCATCTTCTTTAGTAAACTGAAGGGAATACGTGGCACCAAGGCGGTGGAAAACGAGGTGGCCAAGTATGTTACCATGCTGAATTTGCAGGATAAATCGTATGTGGCTGCTGACAAACTTTCCGGTGGAATGAAGCGAAAGTTGGCCCTTTGTTGTGCTCTGTGTGGAAATGCCAAGGTTGTGATTTGCGATGAGCCAAGTTCGGGAATCGATGCCGCGGGACGCCGAGGTCTATGGGATCTGTTGCAGAGCGAAAAGGAAGGTCGAACTATTCTGCTAACCACTCACTATATGGACGAGGCCGATGTCCTGGGCGATCGCATAGCCATCCTGGCTGAGGGAAGCCTGCAATGTCAGGGTACTTCGTTTTATCTAAAGAAAAAATTCGGCACTGGCTATCAATTGGTGTGCATAACAAAGGTGGGCTGTGATGTAACCGCTCTGACCAAGTTGATAAACCAGTATGTTCCGCACATAAAACCCGAAAGGCAGCTGGGCACCGAATTAACCTATCGTCTTCCCACCGAGTACTCTAAAAAGTTTGCAGGATTACTAGAAAATTTGGATAAAAATCGTGTTGAGTTGCAATTGGAGGGTTACGGTTTGACTGGAGCCACCCTGGAAGATGTATTCATAACAGTCAATGCCAATAAAAGAGTTCGGGGTGGTGAAGAGGTGGTTCAGGGTAGACAGAGCCTGGGTTTCAAGGATATAGTATTTGAAAACAAAACGAGGGAAGAAAGACCTTTAAATCGCTACTTGATGTTTTGGCAGGCGCTATTTCTAAAAAAGTTCTATGTCACCAAACGAAATTACTGGCTAATGATTATACAGATTTGCCTGCCCATACTGATTATGACCTTGACCATATACAATTCTCGGGGCGGCAGGATTTACTATGAATTACCTCCAATGCCCGTCTCCATTTATCAGTACAAACACACCTATGTTGTGTTGGAGGACCAAGATCAGGCTTCGGGAATAGCTAAGGATTATACGAGATATTTGGAGCATTTTGGAAAGAGATATACGTTGCTAAAGACTGGAGACTTGAAATTTGAGGACTACATACTGAGTCTTGGGGTGAGTCATAGCCGAAGGGTTGACTACGATTACCTAGCGGGCGTTACCATTGGCAGGGAAAACTTAACGGTGTGGCTGAACAATAAGCCCCTTCACACCGCTCCATTGACTCTCAACGTATTGCACAATGCCTTGGCCCTGAAATTACTGGGCAAAGATGCCTCGACGTACGTAACTAACGAACCACTACCCTATAGCGATGATACCAAAACCTTGCGCCTGAATAAGGGTCAACGTTTGGGCGCCGAAATATCCATTAACTTATCCCTAACCATGTGTTCCGTAACGGCCTTCTATGCGATTCCGATCATCAAGGAGCGGGAGACTAGGGCCAAGCTAATGCAGCTTTTGATTGGCGTGGATGTGTGTGCCTACTGGCTGAGTCACCTGATATGGGATTATCTAATACATATCCTATCATCCCTATCGGCTGTATTTACGATCGCCGCCTTCCAGGAAATTGGCTACTCAACTCCCTTGGAACTCAGTCGCTACTTCTTCTTGCTGCTCATATTTGGACTGGCTGCTCTTCCTGTGAGTTACGTAATGGCCGGTTGCTTTTCCGATCCGGCCACGGGTTACACTCGCATTGCCATCTTCAATACCTTGACGGGAACTGGAATGTTTCTGCTGGTTATAACCCTCAATTTCGATGCCTTCCACATGAAGGAATTGGCCGACGAGTTGTCCTGGTACTTTCGAATATTTCCCCACTTCAGCTTGGCCAGTTCCACGCACAACATCCACATAGGCTCGAATATTCGGCGAGGCTGCAGTATGACTGGCATACGGAATTTACCCAAATCATCGCGTTGCCGCAATGTTCCACTGTGCTGTGATATTCCGGATTTCTTTGGCTGGCGATTCCCTGGTGCCTTGCCAGATATCATATATCTCCTGGTGGTGGGCCTAATATTATTTTTGATACCCATTTTGCAAGACGCTAGGGTGAACGATTTTATTGGAGAAAAGGTATACAAACTGTTTTCGAACCGAAAGCGTTCTACAGGAGGATCTTCGGCGGAAAATGAGGATGTACTCGCTGAGCGATTGCTAGTGCGGGAAATGATTAAGTCGAAACGAAAGGATGTACCTCTTTTGGTGGACAACATTACCAAGCGCTATAAGGATAAGCTCGCCGTTAGGGGAGTTTCGTTTCACGTCCCCCATGCCGAATGCTTTGGTCTCCTGGGCATCAATGGAGCCGGTAAGAGCTCAACCTTTAAGATGCTCGCTGGGGATGAGAAAATCACCTCAGGCGATGCCTATTTAGATGGCCTAAGCATAGCTTCCCATAAAGTTCACGGCAAAATCGGCTATTGTCCACAGTTTGATGCCCTTTTCGAGGATCTGACTGGTCGGCAAACGCTAAAGATCTACTGCCTTTTGAAGGGTGTGCAACGTCGTCATGTAAATCCAATATGCCTTGCACTGGCCATTTCCTTTGGATTTTCCCAACATTTGGATAAGCAAACGAAGTATTATAGTGGCGGTAATAAGCGAAAACTAAGCACTGCCATTTCGGTACTGGGAAATCCCTCGGTCTTGTATCTGGATGAACCCACCAGTGGCATGGATCCCGGGGCACGGCGACAACTGTGGCAAGTAATTGGTCATATTCGCACTGCCGGCAAGTCCATTGTCCTGACCTCTCACAGTATGGATGAGTGCGAGGCCCTGTGCACCCGATTGGCCATAATGGTGGATGGCGAGTTTAAGTGCATAGGAACGGTGCAAACCCTAAAGAATCAGTACTCAAAAGGGCTCGTTCTGAAAATAAAGGTCAAGCACAGGAAGAAAACATTTCAGAGAATTGTGGAAAATTCGTCTTCCTCAAGCCAACATAATTCGGTTGCCGACATTGATTCCAAAGATATTAGAGTGGGTTCTATTGTGGAACATAGTTTGGCAGATCGAATTCTTAAGCTTCATAGATTTATACTTAGAGAGATCCCTGACGCCGAACTCAAAGAGGAATACAACGGACTTATAACATACTATATACCACAGACAAAAATATTGGCCAACATTTTTCAGATCCTTGAATCGAACTTGCAAAAGCTAAATATTGAAGACTATTTAATTATGCAGACACGATTGGAGGAAATATTCCTGGACTTTGCTTTAAAGCGTGATGGTTCTTTAATAATTAAAAAGAGGTGGGTGCTCTATTTTGTATTTTAATTGTCAAGTTATAATAGAAAGTTTTTTACTTTTTCAGAAAATGTTGGTGTTGCTAATTTATTGATTCGTAATAAAATATTTTAATTTTTTATTTTATATTTTTATTTATTAAGTGGAATAGTGAGTTCAACGCTGAGCATGAAGTGGTGCCCAGGATTGGCAATGAATCCTTACTCAAGGCCTCAACCACTCGGCTTCCCATTTAAGTCGCCAAAGGCTATTCCCCGTAGCTGATGGCAGGAACGCTTAATATCTTGTTTATTTATTGCATTCTGCGCGTTTAATTAACACTTAATCCCTGTGTAAGTAATTACGCTGCTGCTCCAGCATTTGCTTCTCGTGGCCTCCAGTCTCGTGATGGAATAATTCATCTTCATAAATACGCGCTGCACTCTCTACTCGGTTTTTGGGGTAGGATGCGGGTTTTTGGGGGGCGCTTAAAAAGCATTAAGTTGCGCATCGGACACAGCACGACACGCCCCTGAGCGCCATTAACTCAGGACAGTGGGCGGTGGGAGGGGCAGGAAGTGGACACAATGGGATGGCCACGGCCATAAACACACTTATAAAACAATAACAAGGCCATGGTAAAGGAAATGTAAGTGCGCTTAGAGAAAATATCCCCTGAAGTTGAGTTCTCTTATTATAACTTTCCTCCTGCGAGACATTAAATATTTTTGCAATATCTAACCAAATAATTTTTACAGCTATTTACATTCAAATTGGATTGCATTTCCAATTGCAAAATTTTACAAAAAATATTTATTTATCAAAAAAATAAACATGGTCTTTTATAACTTAAATGATTTTAGAATAGCCTTTAATAATTCCCATTTAATTAAGAGACTTAATTATAATAAAATTAGTACCATTATAGTAAATCCTAAATTATAGTAAAACCTTGAGAAATGTACTTTTTATTCACTTCAACTAGATGTTTATTTTGTTGAATTTTGAATTGAAGTCTTACCAAAACATAATTTTTTGTATTTTAAATTAAATTAACTGTTTATGAATTCTTAATAGATGCATATATTTACCGTTATATTTTTAGAATTAAAATGTATGTTTCTTTAAGTGCAATGGCACAACTTACCATCAGCTGTTGGATTCTCACAGAGCCACATCTTGCAGCAGTGGCCGGGAACTTCGACGAGGCGCGGCGATCGGCAGGAAATCGTGTCCTCGGGCGCCGGCAGCTGCTCGTTGGGACAGAGCGTCGAGCAGGCGTGGCGGCCATTCTGCAATGCCACATTAAAATACATTAAATGTGGCCCATTGTTGCTGCTGTCGGGTTGTTTATTTAGCTTTGGTCGGGCAGCCGAAAATAAAGTCATAATGTAAAGAAAATATTGGCCCAATCGCACAAGGATGGCCAGAAACTTGGCAGAGTCCTCGACTTGGCCACGAACTTTTGTTTGGCGTGTTTTTCGTTGTGTGTGCCCTGGTATATGGGGAAATTAACATTTCGTGCGGACCCTCACTGCTTTGTTTGTAATCCACTTTTAGTCTCTAAGCGGTCAAAGCCCCTATTTTTTCTCCATTTTCTGTCTTTCGCATCGTCACGAAATTGCATTGCATAAATTGCAAGTTCTTGTGTTTGTATTATGCCACATGATAAACTACCAGCGCAGCTGGAAATAAGGTGCAAAAACCAAACCAGACATGGAAAAACTACATTGGAGCAGTTATAAAGCTGGGCTCTGGCCATAAAGCAATGTCGTGGAGTTAGTTTTTCTTTTGTTTGGACTTTGCTTATAAGATAACTTTAATCGCAGTTTTATTTGCAACGATTCTGCAAACCAAGAATTGATCTCTATTTAGTTGAATAACCAATTTTTGCTACTTTTAAATACATTTATTTTTAAACTTCTAATTTGTAACGGATAACCTTTAGTCACCAAACGAATTAAAAGAATAAATGTTATTCATTTTAGAGGGCGTATGCATTTAATTATGCAAATACATTTAAAAAATTAAAAGTTTAAATATAAAGAAATTGTCATTAAAGCTATAGTAGTTTTGACTACTAAGCGTTCTATCATTAGTACCTACAAAGGTAAGTATTGTAAAGCAAGTTATCAATGTGATGTATCAAATATATATCAACTATCGTATCTTTTTAGCAATTTTACATTAAAATTCAGTTTTTCAGAATTATCAAGATCTAAAAAAGCCAATCATAAAGAAACAATCTACACAGGAAGTCGACGGTTATACCGGAAAAATAAATATAAGCACCATCAAATAGATCTAGTACCCATTCCGGATGAAAAAAAATTGTGAAATGTATCTCAACCTTTTTTTGTTGTGGCAGATAATAATCAATCTTTTGCTGACAAAGGCCATAAGACTAAACAAAGACAGAAAAATTCCATAATTGTAACTTACGTTATTTCTAAAATTATAATAATTGTTTGCCAATTTTTTATTTCAATTACCCTATCTACTCGTACAATAGCGTTCTTCTAGTCCAATGATAATGTCTGTTAAACACTGTTTTTAATCTCATTAGTGAAACATAGTTGTTTCCCCAATATAGCCGCTATCAAAAACTACTGTGCAACGCTACACTTGCCATTCCGGGCATTTCACACTATATTTAAATTTTAATTAAAATCGCTACCCAGCAGAGCAATTCACATTCAAATGCTGCAAGTGCCGGCGCTAATCCCACCAAAAAATGGAAAAGGCCAAAACGAAGGCTGGAACTAAAAGCGGGAAAAGCTAAACTAAGCACAGGTTAAACAACAACGATGGCAACGAGAATCGTTTAACGAAACTGCAGTTGGCTTTTGGCCGGAATGCTTTCTGTGTCCCAATATATATAGTACATATCTCTGGATGTCTGTGGTTTGTGGCCAACTCTTGTGCGGATGGCCCCCAGCATTTGGCCACTGGCTGTGACCTCCGACCTGCAAACCTGCAAGCCCAGAACACGCGACTCACCTCGCAAACGCATTGAGTTTTACAATCCAATTTAAATGTGACTCCATGTGCGAATGTTGTGTTGCCAACGCTGCAATTGGCTGCAGGCGAATCCGAGGCCAAGACCATATCCCAATCCAGATCCAGATGTTGCGTTGGTTCCCATTGTTGTCACCAAAAAATAGTTGAGAAAATAGAAAACATAAGAGTAAAATGAGCATACAATTTGGGAAATATTCAAGGAAAAAAGTGAAAAGGGAAAGGCCATTAAGTTGTACACAAACTCTTTAAAGCCAATTCGAACTTCAAAGATTTCCTTGACAATCCGAACTCTGACTTGTTTATTACACATTTAATTTCATTTCTTTTCCTTTTGCTCTGCCTTCATTTCACTGCTAATTTATGTCATCAAATGCGTAATACATGTCGTATGTGCAATTCCAATGAATGGGAACCCAATTAATGTCAGTGCTGTTTGTTATAAATTTCGCTAGAATCGCATATTTACAGCGCAAACAATAGACCTGCTGCCGGGCCACCGTTTGCCTTCGTGTCTCATCAAAATTGATATTGACAAATGCCGCTGCTTTATGGCATGCCATTAGCTCGCCAAAGTTTGTTTTTGTCTCATTCTTTGTTTCACAGAGAGGAAAAACAATATTAGTTTTGTGATTTTTAATAAATTTATAGAAAAAAACAAACATTTTATGATTAGGAAACAATTTGGAGAGCGAACAAATTAAGGCCATTATCAAAAAAATGTAATTTCGAATTATTTGCGGAAATAACTTATGAATTTCTAAAATTGGACATTTATTGTGGTTATTTATTTTTTATAACATTTAAAGAAAAAATGTATTTAAAATATTTTTTTCTCCAGTGTTACTGGCTGTTTTTGCTGGAGCCTTTGTGCAGGTTCTGGTTTTGGCCTGGCCAAAAACTCATGTGTGTAGCCGCCAATCACAATTACTCGGGCTTGTGGCGGGGTATTTGCAAGCGGCACAGTGGAGCTGATTTTGGCTCGTAGACACAGATTGCGGGAGCATCGACCGAAAGGGGAGCCACCCACTTGTGTTTTTGTGTGCAAGGGGATCGGGTACGTGCCCTGTACTTTTCCACTTTGAATTGATTTCACTGGCAACGTGACTTTTGCGAAAGGACGAGACAAACGTGTGCGCCCGCCTCCTTCGGCATCATCATTCATTTGGCATCAATGGTTAATGCGAAAATTGGCATTGCTAGCTGATTGTAATGAATATGGTCACGTTGTCGCATCTTTATGACATTAGCAATCTACGTTTATTATTGAAAAGTTACCAGGGAACGTCGGACAATGCCGGAAGTATCTACGTGTAGCGCACCCTGCGATGTCGTGTCATTTTCCAAAGTGCAATTTTCTTAATGTGTTTCCCCGTCCTCACAAGAAGACGTCTACAACACACACTCAGTTCTCGACAGTGACATTTTTGAGTATGCAACTGAGTGGTTGCTTTGTCGGGATGAGTTACCTCCAATAAATAGCTTATTCCTTACCTTAACTTAAAAAGTTACTTCCACAAGAATAAGCTTGTTAAATATTCTTCCCTACATAAGTATCAAGAGAGAGTCGAGTACCTCAACTATAAGATATAAGATATATGTGTAAGATATGTGGCTGCTTCAATACCATTATTTGCACATAACTTTTTAATAAATGGTCGGATTTGATAAATTTCTTCTACATTTCGATATGTATTAACAAACACAACAGTTTTTTAAAGTTTTACAAAATCTGTAAAGATGTGGGCGGTGGATTTTTTCGAAGTACTTTAAGGCAATTGAAAGCAACTTGCGCTGCGTAGGAAGACCAAGAATATGTGTGGTTAATCTCAACTTTCTAGACTTTGCAGTTTCCGAGATCTAAGCGTTCATACGGACAGACAGACGGCAGTAACAAGTAACGGGTATAAAACGGGTATAAAATACAAACAAACAAAAAATTATTTTTAAAACTTCATCTAAAGCACCGAAATCAAATTAAATTGTAAGCTATTATTAACTATTAAATAGAATCATGAAAGACAATTACAGTTTTAGCCATCACCCGTTTTAGTATTATTACGAATGTTATATAAAATCAAATAATTATCGACTGTGGAATCTTAAAAACCATTTAACATTAAAATGGTTTTTAAAATAATCAAGATCTACCATACACAATCAAGTCAAAAAATCTACTCTGGATGTCGATGATTATACCCAAAATGTATATAAAAGCACAATCAAATAGATGTGGTACACATTCGTGGAAAAAAAATTGTGAAATGTTTCTCAACCTTTTTTTGCTATCTCAGATAATTATCCTTCTAAAGATAATAAAACCATCCTTTGAGATCAGCTACGAGTATGTTTTCGAGGACGAAAAGGTGTTTGCTGAATGTATGGATAGCCCACCGGGATATTCAAATATCTCTCGATTGTTTGATTTAACGTTTTTCCACACGGAAATGACTCCAGAAGGTCTTCATGCAACAGGAAAATTAATCTCTTCGTGGGATATTCAGCCAACAGATCGCATTGAGGGACGACTTAGCGTCCTTTACTTGGATCGTGGTACGTGGCAACCGACAGTACTTAATATGATAACCAGAGATTTTTGCAAAATATATCTCGACCCGAAACAATTTTGGTACACTTGTTTTCCAAAATACATTATCAACCGAGAGGAAGCTGAAGAAAAATGCTTCACCCATATTGGAGTATGCGTTATATTTCTGATTACGAATTTTTGTTACTTTCACAAATTTTCTATTTGCAGACTGAATTTGTTTTCGAACCATTTATGCCTGAAATGTATTTTGGTGTGGGCATTAACATGCCTCCTGGTAGAAAACGAATTGTGATTACCTTGGCCGCGGTTGACTTAAATAATGTTACTCGACCAAATGGAGTTTGCTTTGAGATGAGAGGAGAATTTTATAAGGTCCAAAAAGGGACTAAAACCGAATGAAGTAACGGTTTCGCTAAAATACTTGTAAAATGTTTTTGTTTCTTGAATACCTATCGAATGACCTTAAAAAATAAAGACACGCCTACTCTAACGCCCACAAAACTGTAGCCTCCGCAACTTTGAAGTTAGAATGCTAATTTAAACTGAAATATTTTGTATTCTCAATACATATCGATTGACATAAAAAACCTTAACGGTTCTAAAGTTGATTAACTGTCTTCTGTCTTCTTTTAATTGTTAATGTTTCATAATACGTTTATTTAATCAACACAGCAATTTTACGCATTTTTAACAATATTAAAACTTATCAAAATCTACCAATAAATAAATTCATGATAAAAACTAAAGTTCCACCAAATATATCACTGAAAGCAAAGCAAATCTCGGTGTCACAAGAACCGTTCCAAAGTGAAGTGGACGTTACTAAATGTTACTAAGATCAGAGCAATGGGCATAGCTGAACAACCCCGATATAAGCATTCCTGATGAATAGTGGCAGCATATTTGAAGAAACAAAAATTATTTCCATACCGTTCCATATTACTTATCACTTGGGGCAGGGAAAACGGTAATGAATGTAGAAATGTGCAATAGCAGCGTTTTTTAACGGCCGTTTCCAACTAAATTCGGCTTTCTTCGTCCTGAAGAAGAGCACTCAAAATTTCCTCTATCCCCGGGCATAAACATAATATACATGTAGACATTTCCCCGCTAAAACTCGATGTCTTGCCTTTCGAAGTGAACTCTTGTCTCGTTGTCTACCCTTTCTGTTGGTGTGGCACATTTTTTTGTGACCCCGTGTCCCTTTGTTGGGGTCATCATCACCGGCCCCGCCCAACGCCTTGCGCCCTGTTTGGGGTCACGTGTGCGCAGTTTATTTGTTTTATGCGGCCTCAGTGAGACTCTGCCTTCGGACTTGGCCCTCCCTTGGCTGTGTGTAGTGTTTGTTTTACTTAGAGTTTTAGATTTACTTAAGTCGTTGATGACCATGACCAAATAAAGTTTCATTTTGTGCAAAGATTTACAACACTCGAGCGTGTGCGACAAGTTTTGAGTGCCCTCCGCCGTTGGCCCGGCAGCGGATCATGGGAAAGTATACGGCAAAGGCGGCCCAAACAAAAGTTCCTAAAAGAAGGCTTCAAGCTGCAGCCCATGCTGCGTATGCGCAATTTTTGCTACTCGAGTGTTTGCTTGGGACATCATGTGATTGACGGATGAAAACTGTGCCCAATTCTACTTCACAAACTAAAATCTGCACTAAAGATTGCCAATCACCCGAGGGTATGTTTGAACACACTTGGCAGAGATTTCTAAGGGAAATCCATAGGTAAGAAACCAGAATCATCAAGTTCAACGCTCGAAATAGTTTGGCCTAAACACTATTAGCTGAACGAGAACTTTAATCTCTTAGAAAGTTAATTAAATTGAAATCTCACAGCGAAATAAAAGGTATTTATGTTTATTTTAAAATGTATCACCATTAATTTTTAATTACAATAAGTTTACAGCATGAAGTATAAAGTTTTAAAAATCATAAAAATTACTTTATATAATGTGTATAAAAGACTGAAACAGTTAAAGTGAACAAAAATGTTTTTAAATCAAACTTTGTATTACCAAGTGAATAAATGTTAATACAGAAAGTAAAATCCATTCAATGTAAGCATTCATAAATTAAAATTTATTTGATTGCATATAACTTGTGCAAAGTGACTTTCCCTGAAAAGCTCACTTTGAAAAACTTTTCCTGTATCCGATTGGCCCTTCTATGGCGTCGTCTTCAAATGATATGTTCTGACTAATCTTTGCAGCTCATTCGGAGTGAACTTTCTGGTTCTTGGCTTGTTTGTGAGAACTCTTCGTTGCTTCACGTATTCGCAAATATGTTTGGCCAAGTTCACAGCGTCCCAGCATTTTTCGTGTTCCGATAACTTTCCGATTTTGGGTTAGGAGTAGATGCGAATAAAGAGCAAGTTCTACAGTTTAAATAAACTTGTCCCGAACTGCGAGGACAATGCATTCAGGCTCTGAACGATTGAGGGGTGCACATAGAAAAATGTTTTCAATGTAATACTTAGCACAGTGTTACAGTGCTTGGCCTTTATTTATTTACATCGATAAATGCTCAAGAATAAACAGTACTCAAAATTGTTGACGAAAATATTTCCCTAGTAGGGAATCCCTTTATATATTCTCCTATTCCTGGTTTCAAAGTGCAACTATTTCCATATTGAGCCTTTAATTCCAAAAATTTTAAGGTTTTTTTAGCGGAGGTATTTTTATACATTTTGGGCAACATGTCTAGTGTTTTAATCGGCTCTATATTCCTTTTTTTCTTCTAAATCGAAAAATACTAACGATTTTTAAATCGCAAATATTTTAAGGTATCAGCAAAATATTTATTGAATATTTAAAAAAATAAAAACTAGTATTTTCATATATTTTTTGCCTGTGTGGATTCCCGCAAACGTGTGGGTATTGATATGTGCCGGGGGCACAACCAGTCGTAGGTTTACGTGCCAGGCCCAGGAGCTCAGCTCTGCTGGCCGGCTAACTTTTATTTTGGCCCTGGCCATACACAAACTGTATTGGCATTTGACTCAAAACTTTTGACTCAAACGGGGTACGGGGAATAAGGGCCAATATTATATATACAAGTGTATATGCAGCTATTCTGGCAGCACGATATGGGTTGGATTTGTTGTAACGCCCTCGAATCGAAAAGTTTGTGGCACAGTTCGGACTGCTGCTGTTTAATTTTGAACAGCTTTCTACGACATCGTGTGGGGGACTGCATGGAAAGCATTGAGAGCAGAGAAAGAGCATGGAAAATGGCACATGTCGAAACGAATTGAACACACACTCCCCCATCGAGAAAAAATAAGGCCCCCCTTTCCCCAAATGGAAAATGAAGAAAAAGAATCGAACATAAAACCATTAAAATCACTTTACTCGTTAGTTAGGCATTTGAGCTGGTGTGCGTGTGACTGTTTCCCAGGAGATGGGATCTGCTAAGCCGGGATCTACTGGATATAGGTGCACAATGGATGTTCGGAAACGGGTCCACAACTTTCGGCAAAGCGACGGAGGCATTGGGAACAAAAAATAACATTTCCTGTCTGCAAGTTTTAATGAAATTTTTCGCTCTTCGATTGTGTCCGGCTATTTGGAATTCCCTTTATTTCTTTTCACTAAAAAAGCTTTCAAATTGGCTTAATTTCGGTGAAATTATAGGTAACACAAACAAATACACAACAGAAATCCAAAAATGTATACAAAATACAATACAAATACAAAAAGGTGCAAAAAGATATAGAAATGTGTACTTAAATAACAAGGCTGCTTGAATTCTTATGTAGGGATTACGGAATAAATTTGAATTCACTTAAATTTCTGTATAAATATTTTTTAACACACCGATAAATAGAACATTTAAATTCTTTAAGTTTAATCTTTTATACACTTTTAAAATCCTTAAAAACCTTGGAACGTAAGGATTTTACAGCCACAATTTTTGTTGGTTTTATCATTTTCTCAATTCCATAATTCTTTGTTTTTCTTTGGCACACAAATCAGGCATGAATATTTATTTGCCCAAGTCCAAGTGGAAAATTCAGATTTAAATTGATGACTTTACAAAATGGAAAATAAATACATTATTTTTGAAGCTTTTTAGGCATTTGCTAGGAGTTGCACTTTAAGGAAATCATTTTTGGGGGCCCCACTTCACTTGATGGTGATGATGATGACTGGACAGGCCTTTGATTAATGAAGCACACAGTAAATGTAATTCGTAAATCTTCTTTCCCAAACCAATTGCAAATACGCATCGACTTTGTGCAATTCAATTGAAATTGTGGAGCTTGGGCTTGGGAAATCCTAAGGAACTTACCCGGATTCGGATGCCTAGGCAACTGATCCAGCGACGGCGAATGGGATTGCATAATTAAGGAAAGAGCATTAATGGTATTCATAAAGATTTTCATGGCTGCTTCGTTTTTGTTCAAGAACTCACTTTGATGGCCTTAAAGCCCAGACTCAGACTCGCCTCGACTTCAGCAACGAGACCATTACCAAAAATACCCAGCAGCGGCAGCAGTATCAGCATTTTCTGTAAGTAGAGAGATGGGATGGGATTATTTGGTGCGGCGAGGCAAGGTAAAAAAGGTCGAAGCAGTCGCAGTCGACTTTATTAAGGTCAATTCAATGTCTGGCTCGGTTTTTGGTTACGGCTAATGGTTACGACTACGGCCATGGTTACGGCTGTTCACGCCCATTCCCCAAGTTTGTATTTTGCATTTCAGTTTGGGTTTCCTTTGGCTCCTTTTATATTTTCCGGAGATTTTCACACCTGCACCCACCTTAAATATTTCACAAGTTATTTTTTTCTGTACACAGCAGACAGCAGGCAAAGTTTTTATGTTATTCTTTTTGGCGGCTGGCGGAGGGGTAATTAATCTGGTTACTAGGTTAAAAAGCTCAATGAACAGGTACTTGTTAAAGTTCTGGCATAGTTATTTTATTGCTTTCTATATAGCCCTTTTTAGAACAAGGTTAGTGTTTATATCTTGTTAACTTGCATTTGGCTTTTATGGCTAATTCAAAGTAAAATAAAATGTTGGAAACGAATTCAGGTGAATAATCTGGCCGACCTTGCCAGCTGCAGAAATGTGCAAGAAAAGGTTATATAAAATTTGCTTAATTTAATTTGAATTTGGAATAATTTTATTCATCAACGCACTCATTCATTATTACTCAGTCAAGTAAAAGGATTAATCAAAAGGCATTTTTAGGATTAATTTTAAATAATAAGTTTATGTAATTTTTTGCTAAATGTTCATTATGGGTATCAAGTTTCATGAAGCACAAAACAATTTTAATTGTTGCCCCAGAGAGTTTTTCTCTCACAGACAAATAATTGCAGTAAATGTTTGAACAACGTCGAGCTCAATAATATTGCTAATTGATTTCGATTCCGAGGTAAACTGCACGACGGAAGTTACATTTTTTCAGAGGCAAACAACTGCAGTTGATGCGGATGAGCACATTTAATAATTTCCTCTTGTTCCCCGAGGCTTAAGCCGCCCCAAAGTCATCCGCATTTTCACACTTTCACGTTAAATGGAAAATATGAAAAGCGATATATATTTATGGTGGATCTTTTACGTCTGGGAGTGGTAATTATTTCGAAAAATTGGTTGTCTGTGTGCGCCTTTGTTTGCAATCAATTTACGCGCTAAGAACACGCATACGCCGTGTTGGCAACGTCGCATCGTCGGGTTTTTCATTTTGCGCACAAAAGGCGCAAAAGCTCATTAAAAAATATTTTCCACTCATGCGTGAGCATTTTAAAAAGGTATTTAATTAAACTTTAATAACAAAAACAATAAGCGGTTGGCTACAACGTGGAAAAGCAAAAGAGACGGAGGCGGAGGTGGTTTAATGCGAAAGATTTCAATTAACGACACGGACCTCGTGAGCTGCTAAGTGGATAAACAGAGCGAGGACATCGAGGCAGGGCGACGGATGAGTGGCCATCACTCATAGCCAACTCATGTGGAACGCCCATTCGGATGCAGAGGGACTGCATCAATGGACTGCATTGAATGCTGCTTCATTAAGGTGCCGCTCCAAGGAGCTATCCCCAGTCCTTGTCGTAATTATCGCAATTACAATGAACGATGACGGGGGAAATGTAAATGTAAATGGGAATGGAGAGGGAAATGGAAATGAAAATGGACATGGAGATGGAGACTTCGGCAGGACGGAGCAGTCAACAATAATAAAGGCCAACGAGGCGCATGAGAGCAGTTAACAATAAAGGGTCGGAATCACAGGTCCTAGAAGAACCCCTTAATGTACACATATAGCTCTGAGGCTGAGGCTGCATCTCTGTGATCTGTTAATTGCGAGGCGAATGTGGGCCAACACATATCGCCACATGTTGCTCGCCTTGAATGGCAAAAGTGCAAGGAAAAAGGACCAAAACAAGAGAGATGTGGCTAAAAACCCATGGAAAACGAAAACCCATCCATTTACCCAACCATCCATCCATCCATCGTGCTGTCTGCTTTGTGTTTATAATTATGATGAAAGGGGAGGAGGCAGACCGCCCACCCAACTTCTGGGCCAACCCATTCAGCTCGAGGCGATCCGGGACAAAATGTGTGTGTCACTTCGGAAATGAGCAAGTTCGTTTAAAAATGTTTGCCACCGAGTCCTGATGATTTCAAAACAGCACCGGATGGGACAACTCTGGGGAGCTATATCATTAAATTTAATGAATAGATAACAACAAAGACGGAACTGGCCCAGGAGGTCCCAAAAAGTTATGCAGCAAAAAGTTTGACCCACTAAAAATAGGAGTTGCATAAATCTGACCTCAAGCTGAGGCCTTGCTGACAGGATTTTATGACCTCTTTAAATGGCCATTTACCCGTAAATTGATTAATGATTCGCCCGACACCCAAAACACCCCCCACTCATAATTCGACGGTTTTAAAAGCGGCTTTAAGCCATGTTTGTCCGCCCGAATATGTTTGCTCTCGGCTTTACTGGCCTGGCCAATGAAATTAATGATATTGTTAAGCCATTTTAAACGAGCCAACAAATTAATCTTGTTTAATTTTTGAAGTTGAGCATAATGGGCCGGGCATTAGCAGCGGATGCCCCCACTTTTATGACTCACTCTCCCGTGCAAATCAGTATAAATCCCGATTCCTGGAGGGCAAAGCTGATTGTTTGACTGCTCATCATTCATAAGCCGTGGTATCGCGTCGTGTATGTGGTGGGTGTATTGCAGCGTTGGCATCTTATTATTCAGGACACACACAGGATGCCAACGACCGCTGTCAGCGATGACAACACTGGCATTCGCGTCATAATGATGATGAACACAATCATCGCCATGTTGATGCCGCTTTTTGGGATGATAACAACGCGTGACAACAATGCTGACACATCGAAAGATTGTCATTCCATCAATTATTCAAGAACACGCAAATCATCAACAAAACGCTCAGCATTCAAGGAGTCATACATTCGCCCGAATCCAAATCGAAGCACCACCACCAACAATCTCTAACTCACTGCAAATGGATCAAAACCAGGCAAGGTCAACATGCAACATGGGTACACAGATAAAATTAACAGAACCATTTAAAAATCATGACCAAATTTAAGTTATTAAGCACAACATACTTGCATAAGTATACATAAAATACACAACGCGATCAAATCGATATGCGCATTGTAAATTTCTGGTATTTAAACGAATATCGTTTAAACCATGTAACACCGCTTTATCTCTCTCAGAGATTTTTTGACTTCGAAAAAGAGAACAATACGCAATGTGGCGACATAAATTACATGAATAGGAGGGAGAAAGACATATTCGAAATTCGAACAAATACTTAGAACATGTTGCTTATTTTTCGAGCATATCAAGTCAAAATTGATTCCACATAACATCAAATCAATCATCGTTTCATATCATTTTTTTTTGGTTAGTGTTCGAATTTTTAAAGCTGAATCCTTTTTTTCACTGTGCAGATGAACCGAGCCCGGAGTCCACAAATATTAAGTGATACAATTTGTATTTGGTAGGGGGTTTTGGCCGCAGGCTCTACTCAATGAACAACAACAGCCGAGAATCGAACTCAGGCCAAAAAAAAAATAGAAGGAATCATTGGCATGAATATCTGAGTGTTTTTATTTATGACTGCGCGTCAATATACTGTCAGAATAGTATTGGGGCGGATGTAAAGGGGGTGGGCTCAGAGCTCAGACTGCTCTTTGACCCGGCTAGAACAGAAATCAATCAACTCTGGGCCCAAACGGGAAAACTAACAACTGAGAGAGTGCTGAGTAACCAGCCGGTGGTTGGATGGAGAAGGTATCTGAGGGATGTGTAGTGCTCATGGAGCCATAAATCCCAGCTTGACACGGTTAAGTGTTGGTGCTTAACAAAGGCTTACTGAAGAACAAGGAGTGTCGGGCGGGGAAAACCTCCGAGATACATATCATAATCAATCTGGGACTAAAGAAGAAAGAGAAATTTGCCTTCAATTTCGAGACTTCATCTGATTGTGCTAGTTGAAAAACCCTTTTATCTCACTGTGAATCACTTAGCGTTGCGTAAATTTCATTTTCAGCTAATTGAAATTCATTCGAGTGAAATCAAATTAAGTCAAAAGTATATCCTGTCGCCAGAGGTACGTGTCCTTCCGAGAAACAAAGTCAGTCTCGCAAAGTGATTCATTCATAGCGATAAATTAAGACGACTAAGAACGACACCGAGTTCTTCCACCCATCCTCCTCCCAGGGGACATATTTTCATTCACATTCACGTCCCGATATAAATATCCTGCCTGCGAACGTGTCCTGTCCAATGAATATCAACAGTTTGCCTCTGCTTGCCTACTTTTTTGACATCTTCTTAGGCGTTTTGACTAAACCCTCATCAGCATAAAAAGTGGAAAAACTCAATTACAAAATATCAGAAAATCGCAAACAAATAAATTAAGGATACAAATCTGGCTAAGGACTGCGGCAAACTCGGTTCAAATCGAAATGAAATAGTGACACAGGCGCTGCCATAAAACCAAAGGCAAATACAAAGCCGCACAAAAGGAAAAAGGTTAAACCAAATATTTATCCAGCCGCCCAAGGAAGAAGGGTAGAAGGTGGCTGGAAGGAAGTTGTGGGTGTGGGAGAAGTCCTTTCCCGTAGTCTGTATGTAATTACCAGGCAAGGACTGCAAGTACAGCTGTGCCTAAGTACATAGCTCCCAACGTTACACACAGTAAAGGACACTGGGAATACAGAGAACACAAATGTCACAAAGCAGATTCTTGAAGAAGATGGAAAATACTTGATTCAAAATTAGAATTATTAGAATTCTAATAATTAAATTAGGTGAGATAAAGCCGGATATACATATTTGTAAAATCTACTTTAATTTAATAAATTTAAATCCGAATAGTATATTATCCAAATTAAGGTTAAATAAAAACATTTTTTTATTTTACCCATCTTTCCAAAAAGCATCATATTCCGAAATTAGTTGGTACAAAAAATATTTTATTTTTTTATCAATTTTATTTAAGTATCCGATCATTTTTATATTTAAGTCCCCTCTTTTTTAGATCTTTTCTCAGTGTTGCGATGGGCATGTGTGTGTTAGGATGTACGTGGCTTTATGCTTAAATAAACATTTGTCCGGGCCTGTCGTCCTGCTCCTTGGGCCACCGTCTTTGCCCCGTTTACATAGCACCCAACGGCAGGCAGTCAGTTTGCCCGGTCAAAGCCAAATCGTTGATTGCATAAGTTGATGGCCGACACATGTCCGAGATATATAGTGTCGATATAGTCTGTGTTTGTCTGCGGGCGCAAATGCCCCGAGTTACTCACGTGTGGTTGCTATTCACGTCTAATGATGTCTGTGCAGGTTGCATTGGCTGCTCCCGCTCCAAGGATCTGCCTCCTTCGCCGAGTGACCTGCAAGGGAAAATGAAATTTATATTGCGAGTTGGTACACACTGATTGCTTTATTGAGATGCTCGGCCAGAGATCTCCAGGACTCATCGAGGATTAGAGGGGGCTTTGAGAGGGTGCGTCAGTAAATTGCCCGAGAGCACTATTCAGCCGGAGTTTCTGTTGAGATTTTAATTGACTTTTTGCGGTTCAATCGATTGTCTAATTTACTTGACAGACAATTAAAGATTTCAAAACTTAGTCAAGCCGAAGTGCCAAATCAAATTTGTCGAACCGAAATAAAATGTGACTTTTAAATGAAGTGAAATTGACAATATTTACAAGAGATAGAAATAATTTACCCACAAATCATTATTTTTGTGTTACATTTTTTCAGGTTTATTTAAATCGAATATTGACAGACAAATATTTAAATTTTTACAATAAAATAAATTTCAAACTTGCAAATAAAAATTAAGGCAGAAAAGTAGTTTAAATAACAAACTTAAAATAAATAGATAGCTTATTGACAATAACTCTTTAAGAATTTAAATTGACTTTTTGTGGTTACTCATCTGTCAGTTTGCAGACAATCTAAAGACAACGACCAATGGTTATGCTAAAATGCCAAATAAAATTGACCAACGTCAAATTAAATATTCGAAAATGAAATAAATTATTTATTTGCCAAAAATAGACTCTTTATAATTCAGGAAATATTAAATAAGTCGGGCTAGTGGTGCATACTTGAATTAAGAGAATTCAATTGACTGACTTTGCAGTCCATTAACAGATTATAAAGGTCGCTCAAGCGAAATTGGCAAATTAAATTCGCCAAAAGTAAGTAAACTGCGAATTGGTTTTTATTATGCACACGAGAATGGGAGATATCGAGCTATCATTAACATTTGGCATAAACAAATGCCAGGCCATAAAGGAGATCCTTCCGAATCGAAGTCGTTGAAACATTTTTATTAAATTGTTTTTGTCTTCCTGCCACCTTTTTTTCATATTTACTCATTGTCGTTTCCTTGCTGTTTTCGGTGCGTGTGTGTGTGTGGCAAGGTGTTTGTTATCGTTTGTTATATTGCTTGTTATGTAATGTAATTTATACACACGCATACAGACAGAGATTCGAATACAATGTCATAAACGGCAAGGACACAAAGGCAATTCCGCATGGCATTACGGGCAGACAAAACAAATGGCGAAGGAAGGAGCCAAGGAGCCAGGATGCCAGGGAGCGGGATGCGGCTAAAAGCCAAAAAGTACGCGTTTGGCATAAATGATAAGCTGGTAACGCAGCAGGACATTCCCCCTCCTGAAGGTCCTGGTCATGGCCCAGACATCTCCCGGTCCCCCGGCCAAGTCCTCGTCCTTGTCCTTGTTCCTGTGTCTGTGCCTGCTTGCTTGACTTTTGAATACTTAACAGGATAATGAAATGTCAAAAGTGCGCAGGCGGCCCAGGAAAGCGTATCCTGCTGGCCTGTCCTTCGTCCCCGTCCCTCGAATCCCGCCCTGCCCCTCCTGTTCAGCCTCATATTGATATTCCTCTGGCTGTTGTGGAGTTTTATTGTGTTGTCCATGCCTAAGTGAACGTCACGGCGTGCCGCGCGCATTAAATCATAAAGTCGAAAAAAAGGAGCCGCTCTGGAGGATAACCAAGGAGGCTGTACTTTCCTTCATTTTGTTTAACGATTTTTGTCTACTCTTTTGAGCAGTTTTAAACATTTTGACAGTGACAAAAATAAATATCGTTGACACAAACAAATTCTTAACGAAAAACATTTTTTGTCAATAAATTGTCAATTCATAAAATAGTTTAATCAAACTTAAAATGTAAACAATGTAAATATTCCATTAATTTGTATTCAATTAATCGAAACCTTGTCAGTCTTGTAAAATACCCCATTTATAAAAAAGAGTATCGCAAGCGAATGAAAAATGTGATATCCCAGTAAAAGGGACCACATCTCTCACACGGGATGTTTTTTTTTTGCTTTTCGTTTGCCATTTTATGTTTACATAAATTTAAATTGACACAAATGCGTTTTGGGTGCCCCGACAAATAAAAAAGACAAACCAGAAACCAAATGATAAACTTCATAAATTATGACAGTTTTATGCTGCTCTCGGTGCTCGATTTACGCTTTATTTATTTGTAGTGATTGCAGGCGAATTGAAAATGTATTTATGCAATTCCATGACATTACGGAAAAAAAACAAAAGACAGAATCCCTCGCCTGCAAAACGATCTTTATCCCCGGAATAAAGAACCTTTAATCAAGGCTACTTTTGTGGCAAGTTTTTGTGTGTGCGAGGAAACCATTTGCCCTCCACCTCACCGGTCATCTATGGGAAATATCCTGCCAGTTATTGCGGATATATCCACGCAGTGGTTGCCACGCTTAACTCAAATTGCTGTTTTTTTTTTTTGTTCGTATTTGTTGCGGAAAACAAGAGAAAGTTGTAATCAATAAAGTAAATGACCCAGGCACTTCAGGACGACCAGAGAACATATCCTGGCAAATAGAGGGCAGTGGAAGTGAATGGGCCAAGTGTTGCTATGATTGATTTCTATGAGTGGAAAAAGCGATTCGGAGTGTACAGACGAGATACGGTACTTATGGTAACATGAGGAATTTGGCCAGATATTTAGTTAATCAACTTGGCTTGTGTTTCAATAATAAATGAGTAAGCCAGACAGTAAGCACAAACAACAAAACAAGAAAGGAAGCTACCTTCGGCCAGCCGAAGCTTATATACCCTTGTAGATAAAAGAATACTCACTCGGTGCAGTTCCAGGGATTCCAGATTCAGCGTTTCGATTTATTTCAATTTTGTTTTTTTAAGTAGTCAAGAATCAAAACGCCTACTTCCTACAAAGTTACAATGAATTTTCTTATATTTGTTTGGGAGCCTTAAGATATAGTGGTCCGGTCCGGCTGGCTCCGACATATGTACTACCTGCAATAGAAAGAAGGCTTTCGGGAAAGTTTCATCGCGATAGCTTTAAAACTGAGAGACTAGTTCGCATAGAAACGGACAGACGGACAGACGGACAGACGGACAGACGGACAGACGGACATGGCTAGATAGACTCGGCTATTGGTGCTGATCAAGAATATATATACTTTATGTGGTCGGAAACGTCTCCTTCACTGCGTTGCAAACATCTGACTGAAATTATAATACCCTCTACAAGGGTATAACAACATTTTCTTAAATTCTAGATGATTTAACACATAAATGTTAGGAATTTACCTACTTAAACTGAACAACACAAATTTATTTTCCTCTTTAAACTAAGTTCATTCAAAGGATTGTTTTTCCTATCTACGGCAAAAATATCTTACCATTGATGGGTCCTCGCTCTTTGTTAACATTTTTATTAATTAACAAAATGGACCCAATGTACAGCTCCCAAAGTCTACACACACACACACGCATAATTGATTAATTTGGCCCTCCTGCAAGAGGGTAACATTTATTTTGCTCTTCATTTTGTTAATGAACTTGAAAAAGTCTCTTGAGGGGAAAAGCTTATTTTCGGCTTGAGTATAATTGAAACGAAATCAAATCAAGTAAGATTTTACGCAGCCACAATGCAAACACCCCAACAATGAGTTGTAAAATATTCAACTCGAAATTTATGTGCAACTTGTGTTCTATATATACCGCCTATTGACTCTTCAGGCCGGCCTGCCAATTAAGGCCTGCTCGAGGGCCAAAAAACTACGAACAATGGCGAAGAGGGAGAACCAAACTTTCGCCACAATCTTAACAAGAAAATCTGTAAATTACACGCCACAATTACAGCCTGATGGGTGGTGGTTCGGGCTGGCCGGAAATTCCCAAATATTTATACACCTAAATAGATTTGATGGCATAATTGAAATTTGTTGTTATTGGTCGGGGCCATTCCACTCAATATTTGTGTGCTTGCAATTTGCATAAATGCCAAATGGCAAATGCCAAAGTAAAGTTTATTAAAAGCATAGCCGAAAGTTTTCCCGTTTTCCGCCATCAGCTACTAATAACGATGAAGGACCCGTGCCGGAAAATTGTGACACATAGCTGCGGGGTTCGTTATGGAGTGAACTCAACTACAGGATGGGTTGCCTTATACAGGCATTGTCCTTGGAGAAGTCCCAACTTTTCGCCGAGCTACAATTTATTTTCTTCTTTTGATAATTTAACTTTTTTCTTTGCAGCTGAAAATTGGATTTGTTGCGACCGACTTTCAGACTTTCAACGCTTGTAACGAATGTTGAACAGCAGAAAAAGTTGTTTTTCTAATTGCAGGCGTAGCCCTTGGGGTCGTGGGAAAAATTTCGTGGTTGGGCAGAGGGCTCGTGCCGGGGGCAATAATTTGGAACAACTTTATCAGGTTATTTAATATTCATTTGTTGAAGATTTCGAGTGGCTCTGAATTTGGCTTTGTGCGAAGATATCAAAGAAATTAACAGAGAAAACATACCCACCAAATAATCCACATAAAGAAGCCACAACAATTGGAGTTTAGTGACTTCAAATGACATTTCAACTAATAGGCCCCAGATAAGCGGGGAAAACTTTGGTAAAACTCTGAAACTTTTGGACAGATATAAGCCGGCATTGCCAATCTGATTTGGCAGAATTTAAAGTGATTTTTCTCCAACTAAGCCTATTCAATTTTAGATTACCCAATCGAGTCCATTAAGTAATTGAGTAAAGTTCTTTTCTTTTGGAGCATGGAACTCATTAAAAAATACTATTGCAGTAGATTAGCATTTTTTATTTAACTTTTTAGAATATTCTTACTTTTTAAATTTAATTATTAAAAACTTTCCTAACATTTTTTTATGTAAATGTGATATTTCCTTGAAAAAATGTAATCAAAACGGCCTAAAACTTTTTAGCAAAATGTTAGGGTGAATTCTCTACAAGATGAACCTACCATAAACATCTAACAAACAATATTTAAATAAATAATTTTTTAGATTCTATAAGTTTAGTTTCATGGTTGTGAATTTGGATTTCAG